TTTTAAACGACTTCAAAAAGAAGGAGCTTATCAATTCGGATGTTTACATTTTTTATGTACGTTCGGGCATAACTTCGTCATATATAGGCGGATTTGCAATATTATTTTTTTTTGTTCGTAACAATTCGTTGCTTTTTTATTGTCATAAATTATACAGGATGGTTTTTATAAAGGTGCCCAAATTCACACAGGAGGTTCAAACTCGGTAGTATAACCGTTTATTGAAATAAAAACAAACATTTTTTTTAATTAAAATTGGCATTCTATTCCCTAAAAAACTTGTTGACAATGCGGTAGTCATTCATAAATGCGTCGTATACTTTTGAAACGACCTTGTCTGCGTGTTAGTTATGAATGATCGCGCGTAAAATACAAGTTGCCCATAAATCACGCACTTTCTGACATAAGTTCAAATGAATGTAATTAATTAATTACGAGTGATTTTAAATATTTATCATTTTTTTATAACTTTATTTATTTCTAGAATTTAATAAAAAAAATGAATACACTTAGAAAAGCCTCCCTGTATAGTATTTTTTTTAAGTATGGTATTGGTAGGCTTACTTATTTTTGAAATTTTCTTTTTATTTATTTCTTCGTTACCAGATTTTATGTAGTCGTATTTTTTTGTGATTGTAATATATTTCAATTCCTCTACTCCGCACGCTAACTCCACTTCAATGACAAGTAGCCTAAGACAGGACTATCGAGACACGGGTGATTGATGATATATAATCAACCCAAACGAAAACTCCTAAAATAGCCGTACACTAAAAATTTCATCGTCCACGTCAAAAAAATGCTCATAAATAACAAAAAAAATATTTATTCAGTCATTCATTCATTCATTCATAATATTCAGCTTTCGTCCATCTAATCCATCTAATCACAGAATCCACATTCATAATAAACGGAACGAACAAACTTTACTTCCCAAAGATGGGGTCGCATACTGACGTCCACTAAACCACCACCTCTCACCACCCGTCAAAAACCGTCCACCCATTAAGACGAATCAAACTCGACGCAGTTGTGTTCCTTAATTACTGAGTTCCTATGGCCACATTCCAGCTCTGTCATCAGACCCAGGTTACCATCTAGCACTAAAGAACTCGTCATGACGAATCAAACGAGCCGAGACACAATAGGGTTGCGTCGTTTGTTTACTGAGTACATATGACTATGTTCCAGCTCCATTAACAGATCCGACCCTGGTAACATCTAAAAATTAAGTACTCGCCAAGACGAATCAAACAAGCCGAAACTCGATGGGGTTCAGTCATTTCATTACAGAGTGATCATAGGAACCTCACAGAATAGACCTCACAGAAGATCGGCGTAAAGTACTTCTGCGTGTTTTCTGGTGAGTGAGGTAGCCAGAGCACACTTTATTGTAAGGAGAAAACGCATCTGCAACCCTATGCATATGTCCACGGACGGCTGAAGATGGAGATCCATCATAAGATCCTGGTTACTGGTTAATTAATTAATTTATTTGTTTATTCATTTATTTATCTAAGTGAAAGACAAACTACTCGTCAATACGATTCAAATGTACCCGAACGCGATGAGGCTCTGATTTTCTGGCGATTTACACATGTATACAAAGTTTCAGCTCAACCGGTAACCGGGAAGTAGATCAAATTTAATTTGTAAGATTTGATGACAAACATTAAAATTTTGTAAAAATGTTCATAAAATGAAAACTACTTGGCCAAACTATGGTAAATTTTTATGGGGCAAAATGGCAACTATTCTACATCAAAATAAAGAAGAATCACGTAAATCGGATCATAAATTTCAACGTAATCGTACACCGATTACGTTGATATCATACATCTAAAAAACAATATACCAATCGAATTGAGAAACTCCTCCTTTTGAAGTCGGTTAAAAATATTATATTAATTTAAATTAATATTGAAGGTACCTACTTACATAAAATCTATTTTGTGGCAAAAAATATATAAAAATATTATGTTTAACAATTTTAATTAGTGGTCCACCTAGGTCCTGGACCCAGCCCAGGGGGGATCAAAATCAAAAATCAAAAATCAAAATCATTTATTCATCGACATAAGAAACTTACATTTCATTTATCAATAGTCATATTTTTTTTTAAATCTACTACCGTTTCGTAATGAGGTTCCTCTAGCGGAGAAGAAACAGGCGAAAGAAACTCCGTAGGTATCCTCTTTTTTGTAATTCATTTTTTTTTCTTAACAAAAAATTCAAATATTATACAACTGATATTTTTCCTTTTAGAAATAGCTTGGGAGCGATCAACTCATTCCCAGGGGTTATTGTCATTAATGTATTCATTTGTATTATAATAACCCTTTTTATAAAGTTTTTCTTTAATAAATTTCTTAAACCTGTTAATAGGCAGGTTTTGCGCATTTACTTGGATTTTGTTGTAAAAGCGTATACATCGCCCCATGAACGAGTTACTTACTCTATGGAGTCTAGTAACTGGCATTACAAGCTTGTGTTTGTTCCTAGTGTTCACATTATGTATATCAGTATTCTTATCAAAATTATTAATATTTCTACGCACATACATAACATTTTCATATATATATATTGAGAGACTAAGGTTAATATATTTATTTCTTTAAACTTCTCTCTCAAAGATGCATTCAAATCTAGATTATAAATAGTTCTTATGGCCCTTTTTTGCAAAATAAAAATTGTTTTATATGACCATAGCAAATACCATATGACATTATGCTATGGAAGTAACTAAAATACACAATTCTAGCCGTTTTTACATCAGTTAGACATCTTATTTTCCTTATAGCATACGCTGCAGAACTTAGTCTATTCGCAAGTTTGGATATATGGGGACCCCATTGAAGCTTTGCATCGAGAGTTATTTCAAGAAAGACAGTCGTATCCACAAGACCTAACTCCCCCCATTTATAAGTACATTGGTAGCACCCAAATGTTTATCATTAGGTGTTGAAAATTTCATACACTTAGTTTTATTACCATTTAATAGTAAATTGTTAGTATTAAACCAATAGACTATTTCTGACATAGCATTATTTACCTCGTCAAGTGTAACAAGCTGTCGATCGATTTTAAAAATTAATGATGGTATCATCGGCAAATAACACTATATCGTGTTTACTCCCTACAAAGTAAGGAAGATCATTAATGTAGTCATGGGTCATGACCCCCATGACCCCCCCTGGATCCGCCCTTGCTTTTAAATAAAAAACTTTTTTTCGTCGTTTGCCATCTTTCTGGATGTATCATAAATTCATGTTAATAAAAATTATCAATTTCACTTTAAAAAAACTACATTGCATTAGGTACCTACTAAGATGTCGTTATAATTTGTGTATGGAAGTTAACAATGATGGTACAAACATGACAACATAACATCCTTATTAATTTTTATCAGTGAGTAAAGATTGATAATTATGCGCTTCCCGTTGTTATTTTGAAGAGATTGCAATTTGTCGATTACGATATGATATGTCGTAATCCGACATTTTCTGAAATAATGAGTAAAGAAATTTCTGGCATGCGTCTTTTTATATCTTAAAAAGCTATAACTAACGCGGAGGGTCATATCAAGTGCGAGGATTCTGGGCCACGAGTTCTCCATTCGATAAATCTTTATTAGTCTACGGACTGAAAGAAAATATCTCATTTAAAGTATTAATTTATATAATTGTAAATGTGTATGAATGCCGCGGTTTTCTTCTTAAGATAAACAACAAATTGTGAACAATAATTATTAACGAAAGAGAGCTGTAAAGCTCATCGTACCTTTACGGATGGTAGGAGCTAAAAATGCTTAATATAATATTATTATACACACACTCATAAGTGTAAGTCACACATTTATAAGTGTGCATTAAACAAACACCAAAAAACATAAAAGTCTTAATTAAAATAAATAAGTTAAATGATGACTGAAAACATTTTTAGCTATTATTATCTTTATAATAGTTTTCCTTCTCAACAACAGGTGGCACTTTACAAATTTCGCGATTGTTCATTTTTAAAGTATTTATTTTAAAGCATTAACTTTACCAAAGTATTCAACTTCATTTTGTCAATATGCGTGAAGGAAGATAAAGACAATATCTAGCTAGCTATTACATCGCACACATTTTCATCCTAATTGCTACGTGTTTTAATTTTGAATTATGTGTGATAGTACCACTTTTATTTTTATCAATAAAAAAACTTAATGTTTAAAGTAATTTTGCATAAAATATTCTTAACTTTTATGACATAAATATAACTAAACTTATTCATAACTTTTAGATGGCAAAATCATTTAAATGTCATTGCAATTGTCACTGTCAGTTATGACATTTTTAGTAAACACTTGGAAAACACGATAACCATTTTGACTGAAATGTTCATTGCATTAGGTCCAACGGTTGTAGCTGTAATTTAGACATTTATGAAAAAAATGTTTTGATTAAATTTATTATTCTTAACCGCAATTTATTTATAAAAGAAGTGTTCATTGGCGTATTCATTGAAAACCGCCAAAAAAGAAAAGAAGAAGAAGAAGAAGAAGAAGAAAACACGATAAAGTTTTATTTTATGAAATAAACGAGAAATAATAACTAAGAAGTAACATTTTTTTGTAATGTAAAATTGTGTCACATTGTTGTTTCCAATAGATATACTTGGGACGAAAACCACTATTTCTAGTATTAGCTAAAACAGTGATGGCGTTAACACGGTTGTCATATTTGAGACAAATATTTAAAATAGAAAATTATTTATTATCACGAAGACATTATTCCCAAAATGCTATTAATCTGTCAGACCCTGCAGTACAGACATTTCTTAAGAGCTTAATAATAGAACACAACAATCTAAATGCGAAATCACGTCGAACTATCGAAGAAACAAGACGTCTACATGAAATTAAACCCGTAGTAAGTACACTTGACCAAAGAATCTCCCTATACGATAGTATTGAATCGCTGAAAGAACTTAACAAACGTGATGGTAAAGACGAAGAAATGAAAAAGCTCATAAAGGAAGAAGCTCAACTGTATTTAAAGCGCCTTAAAGAAATAGATGAAGAATTGCAATCAATTCTGCTTGAGCCTAATTTAACACAAGGTGGTGTTCTCTTAGAAGTTATGGCTGGGGCTGGTGGACAGGAAGCTATGCTGTTTGCAAAGGAGCTTTTTACTTTGTATGAGTCATATGCTAATTATAAAAATTGGCAGGTGGATGTTGCTTCTATTGAGGAATCTGACATCGGTGGGATAAGGAAAGGTTCAATGTTGATAAACGGTGAGGGTGCTCCTGAGTTGATGAGAATGGAGGCAGGTGTGCACAGAGTCCAAAGGATTCCTGTCACTGAAAAAGGCGGCCGTATTCATACAAGTACTGTGTCTGTTGCTGTGCTTCCACAGCCCACAGATATAGAACTGGAAATACCTGAACGGGATTTAGTATTTGAAACTAAGAGAGCAAGTGGTGCAGGTGGTCAACATGTTAACACTACTGACAGTGCTGTTCGTATCATCCATACTCCTACAGGAACTGTTGTTGAGTGTCAAGAAGGTAGATCTCAAATAAAAAATAAGCAGATAGCTTTGCAGAAGTTAAGAACATTATTACTTCAGAAACAGATTGAAGAACAATCATCAAAAATAAAGTCAGAAAGGAAGACACAGGTTAATATGTTATCTCTCATGAATAGACAATTGCTTTTTTTTAAATTAATAATTACATCATACTTGAGAATATTAAACATTGTATTGTAACAGAATTTAAGAAAAAACCATAATAGACTGGAATCCACATGTTGTATCATACAAAGCTTCTATGGAGATAAAACATACAACACACTACCTTAACCACTTTGCAATATGGCTGATTTATGTACCTAACATCATTTCAATAAATTTACAGAGTAGCAAAAAAATTAAATACCTAAATTTAATTTTTTTTTTCAATTGTCAATTTGTCAATTTTCAGTATATAAGAGATAACTATATAAGAGTTTATTTTGACACTATAAACATGTAAGGAAGTTTCTATTAGGAGAAATATTAAAACTAATGTATTTAATAAACTAATGTATTAAATATGGAATACTTTCCAGATTGGTTCCATGAACAGAAATGAGAAAATAAGGACTTACAACTATCCACAAGATCGTGTTACAGAACATAGAGATGGTGGAGGGACACTCCATAGCCTTAAGACATTCATGGAAGGCGGTGAGCAGTTGGAACAGTTACAAGTGTCACTATTAAGGAATCAGAGGTACCAAATTGTTATTGCCGAAATTAATGATTTCATAAATCGCCAAAAAGAAAAAAATTAACTTTCAATTGTAAATGTTAGATAAGAAATCAAATTAGCGGTTGTTTAATTAAAAGATTGATTTATAGTAAACATTTATTTTGTACCAAATGAATAACCACATCTTTTTAAAGGAAAGTAAATAGGTAACATCTGCTAACATTATAGATAAAAGACAAAGATTTAAAACACTATATCTATGAGAATTATTGACTATGATAAGAGTAACAAAAGTCAAGTCTAATAATACATCATATAACATAATATTATGAGTTTTAAAAATATTACACCAATAAAATAATTGAAAGATGAACACAATGTAGCAAGCACAACAAATTGTTTATGTATTAGCTGAATTGTCAAAATGTAACAAAATCGCTATTGTTCATGTATGAAATGAACTGACAACAATCTGATGCCTCAATTGAAAAGCTGACCTGTTACAAAAGCTATTTAATTATATTTAATTATTGTACTAAAATTTATATTAACAATATATCCATACCAATATAATTAAATAGAACAATTATCAATATCTGATATGGTTAAAGGTACCCAAAGCCAGACATATTTGTGGCAACTGGGAGTTATTTCGTAAACTTTCAATATTTAGTAAACAGGAATTAACTAACTACGCTTTAGTGATATGTGGGACCGACATGTGAATTCATCAGTATCATATATTCTACTAAATAAAATTAATTAACAAACAAAAATATGCTTGCATGTCTTCATGTTACTCCTCCTTGACGGACGGTTTGTTTCATTTTTGTGATGGAGTAAAGTTAGCTATGTTAAAATTTAGCCCAGTTCTGAGATAGCTAGCTTCTCTTTTGGTTTACCAAAGCCCAGTAATGTCACACAAGGGTCGATTGCATTAATTATATATTGAACACCAAGAAGCTTATAACTTTACAAATATATAAATTACACCAATTTGTCAAAATAAAGTGATAAATACATATATGATAATTTTAATAAACTATTTTCACTTGTTAACAATTTTAAGTGGATCTCTGCTCTGTACAAAATGAATATGTCTATCTATATTAACATAGTAACGTGTTTGTAAATATTGACTTTGAACTCGTAACAATATTAAATTTATATTTACTCATTCATACCAATTCCCACCAAACCAATTCATACCAAAAACATTAATATTAATAAAGGAATCCAGAACATGTTCTTGTGAGGGAGGCTGCCACGCCCGCACATATCAATGTTGCTCTCCTGAAAAATTTAATTCATTTTCTTTAAACATGAGGTATAATTTAACTTTTATTTAAATTTAGGTATTACATTAACCTGGTCAAATTGTTAATTTAAAGTGCTGAATTATCACATGCTCAGCGGTGAAGAAAACCAAGTCACAAAAAAAATAAATCAAAATCATTTATTCATCGACATAAGAAACATAAATTTCATCTATCGATAGTAATTTTTTTATATAACACCGTTTCGTAATGAGGTTCCTCTAACAGAAATGCAACAGGCGAAAGAAACTCCGTAGATATACTCGCGTCAGGCGACTCGTGTGATGCGCTATGTCCTAACACCCTCTGTACAGAGAAGCCCTTTGTCTAGCAGTGGAAGGTTGTTACTTTACTTTACTTTCATGTTTAAGGAGATTTTTTTTTATCCCGCATGGGAATCGATCTAAGCTAAGAAAATGTGTAATAACACTCACTTCGGTATGGTTTCTTATACAAGACGTCGGTTGTCTTCTATACAACGGATGTTTATGTTTCAAGCATGGCAATGACTCGTTGTACTGCACCTCGGCGGGATCGATCGATAGGATGGAGGCTTCGACCTTCGGGCACAAGGCATCCACCACTATCAGTAGCATGTTGGTGTAATTAACCAGCTGCGCGTAAAACGGCCTCTCGCAATCCTTGACTGGTCTGTTCAGTTTCTCGTCTAAATTCTTATACTCCAATTGGTAAAGGTACATCTCTCGGTCGCACGGCGTCGGTCTCGTACGATTAATTAGTACTAGCTTCTCGAAGTCCCTTTCCAGAATCCTCGATGGTTTCGACATATACATATCGTCGGTCTCTTCGTCGTTCTCGTAATTCTGGTAGGCCACTGTGCGATAAAATATGCTTTAGGGAGGCGTAATAAAATGTCACAAGTCATGCAAATTACGAGAGGTACTGGAGTCTTATATTTCCAGTCTTCGCAACCAATGATTATTTAGCTCTTTGACGATAATATTTTTTTCATTATCAAAGCTTTCCTGATTCTGAAAATCTGTTCTACGTAAAATTTTATTTTTTCTTTCAATATTCGAAATAAAGATCAGGGAATCCAATCATTGAGCTAAACAATACGATTTATTAAAACTTAAAAAATTATCGTGCTTTAAAGATAAAAGCTTTAAAATTTAAATATACGGTCACTTAAATTATAATTATGTAGATTAAAATAAAGCGTAGTGCGAACAAGAACGTAGAATAGAAAGTTGCTTACATATTTGATTCAATAAACACTTACGTATATATATATATATATATATATATATAATATATAGAATAAATTATAATTATGTATATAAAAATTAAAATAGAAACACAGAATTACATACATCTTATACACATGCAGGGAAGATTTAAAAAACGAATTTTGTGACGCTATATTTTCACCGTTTTTGGTAAAAATAAATAGTAAGTTTATGGTTGAATGGTTCATTTCGAACTGAAATGATTCTGTGAATGTTATGCTAAAATGTACACATGCACATTCCCGAACTGTCTACTTTTCGAGGCGTATATCGATGTCCAAAGAAAAGTAGATTCTAGAAAACTCCATAGTGCCAGGTAGCGATACTACTGTGCACAGTCTATGAACTCACCAGTGGGTGTTACATATTCTGAAAATAAGATGGAGCCGTTACTACTCGATAGAACACACAGCTACGACCAATTGTTGACTCCATGACCGAATTTTGAAGTAAGCTAAGTTAACCAAATGTAACCGACAAGTTATTCGCTTCTGTGCCCTTACATGCACTCGTTGCTGGTAAAGTGAGGAAGATTGTAACTAATATAGAACACATATATTGTTAGAAGAAAATGTGCAAAAGTGATGGCTTTTTCTTCGAAAAGGTGTTTCTTCCATTTTTTTCCTATCTAATTTTAATTCGACTGTCTTTCATTTTGATTGGCATTCATAATAGGTTTTATTTATTAAAAACACATTAATAATTTATTACTCTACAAATGTTGTATACTAACTAAAAGCCGTTTAAATTTTCTGACCAATACGTTTCATTTTTCAGCTGCTATGTAGAATTTTAATGATTCTTAACACTAAATTAAGTAAAAGGGAAAAGATAAATCGCTGTCTTTATCATATCGGTAAGCTCACATCTGACTAAGTATCAGCATAGTGCCCTGTCATGCAAATCGCACAGAACATGCTGACAATGCTCAAGAGCAACATCGAACGCGATCTTTCTAGAAGGAAACAACCTTGATAGATCACCATTGAATACATTATGAGTTTTGTATTTAAAAGTAACTGCAAGACGACCACTTTTACTAGAACTCTAACTTACCGTCGTAGAAAGAATAACTCGACGCTTGTGCCAGGCTCGAGGCAATGGAGTTATAGGTCCAAATTGTGGTCGTTATGAACCACGCCATGATAAGGCGCAGGTTTTCAAACGGCTGAAATGTTGTTAGTCAGTATCATATGCAGTGGCGGATTTGTAGTCTTGGCCGCCCTAGACCCCAGTCCATGTAGTAAGTTCCAGCCACCCCTTTCTCATCATACAACTTGTCTCAACATGATTGGACGCCCCTAATATGTGGCCGCCCTAGGCTCGGGCCTATTGGGCCTTAATCCGCCACTGATGGTATATTAACGGCAATATGCGTCTTTCTTTAGTTCTAATTCCGAGAGTTATATACGATAGTCAATAGAAGTACCTTATGGATTTTAGCTGGTTTGCATATTAAATGCATCAAAATCGAGAAATAAAATTCTCATTGTCTCTTCGCCGAAATATGGTTTTAAATGAGTACAAAATACTGAAGGTGTATTAATTTATCATTCAATGTAGATATTAGACAACTACTGCACTGGGCATAGATATAATGAATAGTTCTAGAATGTTATTAAATTTAACTGCATAAGAACAGTAGGCAATTAGTATGGTAGCGTTGAAAAATAGCATATACAGTGAGGTTAGGCCACGCACCAATTTTGATATTGCACGAATGGGCTGGCCGGAGAAGTACGATGGCGTCACAGAAGAAGTATCGCACTATTGCGTTTATTCTGGTGAGTGAGGTAACCAGGGCAAACAATTCTAGAGTATAGCATCCACGGACGAGCTACTTACTCTCTTATAACCTTATCACCTTAAAACTTATTTATTATTATTATTTTGAAAATTACATATAAAACAATCAGGCGAAAAGATACACACTGGAAAATAGTTCCATTCTTTTGACACAAGTGGATTTCCAACTTTAATATCCTAGTTATCCGATAGTGAGAGTGAGACAGAAACAAAGGATGCGTAATATTTTACTCTTTTACCGTCAATATAATGGATGCTGGATTTGTGGTCTTCTTCTCACGGAAACAGACCGCTTGGTAGTCCACGATGTGGACGGTTCTGTACACTTCGTCTTCAACCAACTTCAACATTATATCGGGTCGAATCTGTGTACATAATGAGCAATATGACTGAGGTGTAAATAGAAGCCAACCATACCCATTTGAATGGACAGCTATATTTTTATTGCTAGTTATGTATTTTTTATGTGTTTAGACCATGATATAAATTTAACTCACTTTGCCAAAGAATTGTCCAGTTTGCGAGGAGTCCTCGCTGACGATGATCCAACCATTGCTGTCTACTAAATAACAATCCCAGTTATCGGAGAGGCAAGTGACGCACTCCTTGTTATGTTCGCACTGGAATACAAAATCGGCGATTCAATTACGAACGTTCTTTGTAAAACAATGAAAGAACAACATCGTTTACACTCACGACTATCAGCTGCAACGACCTCCATGCATCTTAATTCTCCTAGAAACGACTATTCATTCTACTATTTCAAGTAACACGAAATTTCAAACTAAAGCTGGCGATGCACTGATAAAACCTTTTAACAAAGTGAGCCCCGGTTACCTCACTCACCAGACGAAACGCGGAAGTATAGCACTTCCACTTCATGCTGGTCTTCTGCAAGGTCGTGGTACTTACCCGGACGGACCTGCCCATTCGTATAACAGCGAATACTATTGCGTGTCATCTCCAACACCTGTCGGGTTGCAGATGCGTTGCCAGCCTATTTACAAGTGAACCCCGGTTACGCTCGACGAAACGCGGAAGTATAGCACTTCCAGTTCACGCCAATCCCTGTGAGGATGCAGTTCTTCCCTGGACGAGCCTGGCCATTCGTGCCACAGCTGCCGCTCGGTCCTACTACAGCCAAAGGACCGCTGCTTACCGAAGAGGTGATGTTCTCAAACCACTCGCTAAGGCGCTCGTGCTTGAACTGGAAGCCGACCACCGCCGCGGGCGCCTTCCTGTGCCCGTCGCCGTGGAACACAGCGTGCGCTGCCGTCACCATGGCGGTGCTTACGTTGAGGGGCGCGCGCGCGGTGCTGAGCTGCGCGCTGTACACGTAGCTGAGGGGCTCCACGTAGTGCTGCTCCACGGCGCGCCTGTACCACACCTCGTCTATGGCGCGCGGCCACTGCCTCCCGAATTCCGACCTTGAAGCGCAATGACTCATCATCACCGTCCTGCAAGGGCAGGAGGATAAGGATCCCACCTAGGTGGGGTCGGCACAACATGAATCACGTTGTAAGCTGTTCTGGCTATATATTTTACGACCGGCCGCTTGCTTGACGTCAATCCTTCTTGGAAAAAAACACCTAGATCAGGAAAAATGATCTGTGGGTTACACAAAGACTTGTCCGGTGTGGGAATCGAATCCACGACCCCGGACGCCGAAACCAATTGCTTAACAACGGCGCTACCCAGTGAAGTGGAATTAGGAAAGCTATCACAGATCAAGATCTGAAATATTCGATTATTTGTTTCAATCGTTCAACTCATCAATCATTCAACTCATTACTGGTAGTGAGATTTCTCCTTATCTCTAGTAAAGAAGTAAAAAGTCAAAAATGGTAGGAACATGGAGAAGGTTCGTGTGTTTAGAGTTTTAGAGCATGGTCGGCCTGAGCCGAGCGAAGGTGAGGGAGGCTGTCGATGATGATTAATTCAAAGCCTGCTCTGAATAGTGCCAAAGCCAAACCACGATAATCATCGATACCTATGTATCCACATTGATAAAGATGAGTTCATCATTGTATCTTGACAGGATGCGCATAATTTCGATTTATTTAACACTAGCTGCTGCCCGTAACTAAGTCTGCGTAGAATATGCTGAAGGCGTAACATTCAAACAGAAAGACAGATATACTTAAAATATGTATAAAAATTATAGCCTGTGTCTTATTCTGATGTATAAGCTATATTATTGTAAAGTTTTATTAAAATCCATTCAGTAATATTTGCGTGAAGGAGTAACAAACATCCATCCATACATACAAACGTTCACCTTTATAATATTAGTAAGGATTTCGACGAGATAACTGTATATACTATATACATATTATACTCCTTATAATATCTTTCCAAAACACAACGGTCATTTCATTTCTTGAAATTTTAGATTCACTTTGTACAGCAAAGAGAATCTAAAATGAATCTTTTTATTAGGTCAAAAACCCGATCTCTGAGCTATACTATGAGAAACATGTAACTAAAGGTACTTTTCGTGTTAACAGAATTAAAGGAAATCTACGCGCGATAGCATTACAGTAGCGAGCATTGACTTCTACCACTGCACCCTTGTAATTGGGTTATTTTATAACTTATTGCGTGGAACTAAACTCGTAAAGTATCGTGGTAGCGATCGGTTTGAATGCGAGGTTCGTAGAGGTATCGTTAAGAAATTGCAGCTCGCAGTAGCAGTCGGGTCAACAATCGCTATTACCATTCTAACTGCCCGAAGACTACTACTTACTTGTCGGGTTCGTGCTCCTTTGGCGGGTGGGTCCGCCAACGTGTTAGACCGCTGTGCGTCGCGAGGAAGGCCACAACGTATCCGAATCGCTGAATGAACTCCGCTCTACGAACAAATGCAGTGTTTAAGCGTTTAAAAGACAAACCCCAGAGTGAGACACGTATTGAAATCACTTTTATTCGATTAAAGACTCAGTTGTTCTCCGGTTAGTGGTAAAAAGTGATAGTGGTTATGTGGACGAATTCAGGTCTGCAACGTTGCGACATATTTTTAACATTAACTCTGCAATTATTTTGGCAAAATTAACTATCAACTCATTGAGTGTGATCAAGTAAATAAAGTAACATAAATCATTATTAATAAATCATCAAATTTTTTTTAATTTATTATACTTACGAAATCCTATAGGCAGCTAATTTGGCAAGTAATAAAAAACTATGGTATGGCGGGACTTGTACTTACTTCCTCAGTTGCATTAATAATTAGTAATACCTCATTATGTAATTATGATAGTGGACAACACACATAAAACGACGAAAGAATTTTTAGTAGACGTCATTAATAAATTTTATGGTATCTTTATTTATCATTATTTAACAAATTAAATAACCCAAAGGTTGAACCACTATAAATAAAAACAATAATTATTATGTATTGTGGTAAAAATGGTATTCACTGTTGTAAATATGTTGAATATATTGATATTATGTCTGTTAAAGACTGCTCAGGTGTGACGTTTAACACTTATTTTATTTTAATAATTGTTATTTTTTATGTAAAAACTTAAGTATCAACTTCTTTATGAACAATTGCAATAATTTTTATAAATATTTATAGGGCTTAGAAATAGTACAAACGAGGATAAAAAATTTAACATTTTTTTTTATGCATAACATTGAAACATTAGTCGATATGTTGTTATTTAACACACAATAAATAGTTGATATATTATGGGTACTATCAACTATTTATATGACAGGCATGCAGTATTTTTCTTGCATTTTTTATCATACTTTACCTCGGTAACAATCCAATCACTTTTGTCAAGGGGCTATCCAGGCGGAATAACAAAAATTGTTGGTGCAAAATGAGTTACAAGTGTGATTAAAAAAAAAAAAACAAAAAGCAACCGAACCTTATCATAATCGTGAGTCGTTCTTAAGCTAACGACCCTATACACGACGAGACGTTCTAATACTTTGTTATCATTACATGTTATCGGAGTTTTTTGTTGTCGACCTAATAAATACAGAAGTCGCAAGGTATAGCTTGGCAAAGAGTCTCACTGTTTCATAGATATCATAATTATGTGAAATGACATAACTATCATCTGGAGCGCGCTAAGTATTCTAAATAATATTATACAGAATAGCGCGCCTCTCATGTAATAGCATAATATTCTACAAGATAACCGGTAGAAGATTAAATAGTAAGTATTTTTGCTAACGGTCCACTGTTTAACAGTGGACCGTTAGCAAAAATATCGTTGTAACCATACAGGGAGATTTTTTGAGAAGTGCCCAAATTTACACAGGAGGTTCAGACTCGGTAGTATAATCGTTTATTGAAATAAAAAACAAAGTTTTTTTCCAAAAAAAAATGCCATTCTATTCCCTAAAAAAAGGACGTGTTGACAATGCGGTAGTCATTCATAAATACCTAAATTTTACTGTGCACGAACTTGTGTGCGTGTTAGTTATGAATGATCGCGCGTAAAATAAATGTGTTGTGTATAAATCACGCACTTTTTGAGATAAGTTCAAATGAATGTAATTAATAACTTACGAGTGATTTAAAATATTTATAATTTTTTTATATAACATTATTTTTGTTAGAAAAGCCACCCTGTATGTTAGGACAATAATACTTTTAAAAGCGAAATAAATTACACTTACGCCTTCTCTTCCGATGCTGAATCCGATATGCTTCTGTTAAACCAGGCTGTGTTCCTCGCGTCGTATACTAACGCTTGCATGAGTCCATGATCGCCTACGAATAAAAATGAATTTTGATAAGGAAGTTGAAAAGTTGTTACCGTGGTAGGGCCACGCAGCAGCCTTGACTGTGGCACGAATGGGCAGCCTCGTCCGGGTAAGTACCACGACCTCACAGAAGATCAGCGTAAAGTGGAAGAATAATTCTTTCGCGTTTCGTCTGGCGAGTGAGGTAGCCGGAGCCCAATTTTCAAAATGTTGTCAATGCAGCTGCAACCCTCATGTGTAGCAGATGTCCATGGGTATTCACTTAACGTCAAGTGAACCGCCCGCTCATTGGCAACTAGTCACATAAAAAAAATTGAATGACTTCTTGAAATTTAAACTAAAGCCAATCTACGGTTTCTCGAGTATACAGACGGTTTGTTGAAAATACGCAGGTTTTCTCACAATGTTTTCACCGCTGAGCACATGATTATTAATAATTTCGTTGGTGATGGTACCGGGTGTACTAAGCTAACACAGCTCTAAGAAAAATAAATGGAAGTCATTTAGAAACATCTTTAAAGATATAAAAGAAAAAAGTTATTATAAAAATCTTACAGTAGTATTCCACCCGCGGTGTTGTATTAGACGCTTTATTGCGCTCCTTGACGTCCGATGTGCCTCCTATTAAATGAAAATTTATTTTAAAAATGAATGTTGAAAGCTTTTAAACACCTTAACTTAAACTGTAAACAGCCTACATGAGTTCCACTGCTGGACAAATGCATGGGGGTTATCACCCACGGCGGATTCAGACTTCAGATAATCTAAATATTATTTTGCATATACAGATTTCCTTACGAAGTTTTCCTTCGTAGCCCATGGTATATGACGACTTATTTTAGATCTGTCCTCTCCAATTGTAAACGTAAAATTCAAAAATAAATGCTTAGTTATTAGAGAAAACCTATATGTATTAACACATATATTTTTCTATCTTTAATCTCTCTAAGGTGATTACCATTGTTATGTTTTTCGTGGCCTTTGTTCTTGTGGTGCTCTGGCGGCCGGGGCTTAGCCGGCCACCGCCATCCTGGCTTCGCAACCCTCTCCAAGAAATAAAGCAGCTCCTCCTCGGGCGTAGAAAACGTACGCTCGTAGTGTCTGCAGTATAACCTGAAATTTAAATGCGTTTTGTTAGTGCTAGTAAATCTCTTTCTATTACTGACGTTTGTCCTAATTTTTCTAATATAATTCTTCATCAAAAATGCTCTGTGATGAAGAATTATATTAGAAATTATTAGCAAATAATAGTGTGATAAAAGTTACATATAGCCTGACCCGAAAAACTACAGACATCAAATCATGTTGCCGAAATTCAAAGGAAATTTTTCTTAAGTAATTTATTATTTCTGAAGCTATTCCAAAGCGGTTGTGGCGTCCCCAGAGCAGCCGATTAAGTTATAAATCGTATATTCTAGAGAATAATCACAATTTAATGAATACCGGACGTTCCAAACGCATAAAAATCTTTAAAGAATATATTTGATTAAATATAAAAAAACATACAGTTTATTATATTCCTGCGATTCTTACCAATCAGGGTGCACGCTCCATTTATCAGAGAGATATTGCCTAGCCGAAATATTTTTGGAAGTTAATGACAAACGGTGAATATCATCGTTAGGGGGTGGCGTGACTCGGTGCCGCCCATAGCCCTCGGGTATGGTCACCACCAGCGTGAACGGGGAATCGCTGATGCCCGTCCAGTACAGATGCTTCCTAGCCCGAGACACGCGTTTCTGCCGCAAAAGTAACATATATAATGTTTAAATTAAGTTCACATTTTGGCTCTAAATTGACAGTTTAATTGTCTTATCTACTTTTGTTTTTATTCCAATTGTAGCAATGTTTGGCATTGAAAACTAGGAATTTCGCCTTTGCAATAAAGTTTAATTTTAATTTAGTGCTAGTCTTTGCACTTAAGATGAAACTTAAATAACTGACAGCGGCGAAATATTTTGCTACAGTTTTGTCTACAAAAATGTTTAAGTTTCTAATTTGACAAGGTTCATCTGTCATGCTTACCATGTCGTCCAAATGATATTTGACGTTCAAAGCCTTGTTCCCGGTCTTTTGATCGATCACCTCTTTTCTTAACTGTAATCAAATCAGTGTCTTACTCAAATACAGATAAATAATGTAATTTTGTACATACAAAACATGAATACTGCAATACTTACTGCCGTCAATTCTCGGCTAAAGTTTCTTGGGCTGCGGTCGTCGTCGAATAGTTCGATTTCCAACATGTCTACGCTGTTATAGCTCGGTTTTAATATCTGCTGAAACTGTTACCAAGTAAAAAATGTGAGTATTTTTCTAGAGAGAAGGTAGTTCATAGAAAATTACGACAACTTAAGCTTACCACCGGCCGCAAATCCGGGTGTATTAGTACGTAGCCGTTGTTGGTCACTATGAACGCATAGCCGTTAACGCCAATCTGAAAAATGCGGAACCACTAACGATATTCATATTATATCCTTCAAGCAATGATGTTTTAATAAAGATGACGTATATATAAATATATAAGATGAATATTTAATACAGATACTACGCGGCTTTTATTAAAAATTGTTCCGCTTTAGATCGTTATATGACGTATAAATGAAAATAACAAATGATATAGAACGTACGATACGGAAAGCCATAGCAGAACAATCAATTACAACAATTGCCGTAATTTGAGTGTCTCGGTTTCGGCGCGATAGTGTCATATCTGCCTCGTATTTGTTTATAATAAAAGATACTCAAGATAGTTATGCACACACCCGGAAGCCTTATTACAACTGTCAGCACTTAAGATGTGTTTAGACGTCACATTCCTAGATGATAAGCTATAGAGTAAACAATAAGCAATCAGTTTTCACTGAGTGTATGAGAACCGATGAATTCAATTCGTCTCTTGACAAGCATCGCGAGAGCACGTATTCACTTAGATCTTAAGAATTAGTTCTTTAGTTAATTAGTTCCCAAAACTTATCTAGATACTCATATAATGTGTTCCATAAAAAGTTGTTTTGTTGTCACTTTTACCCGCGATTTCATTTGTATCGCGATGTAAAACATCATGTGATATAAGAATTATTTCCTAGTAGCGAATAATATTCTAGTGTAATTTACTATAATAGTTTCTCTTTACGAATTCGTGTGAGTATGTGAGTTTGGTTGACTTATGAATTTGTAAAACAATTGCTTTGTAACTTTTCTTCCCCTGTTCGACGTGACAGTAAAATATATAGTTACATTATATAGTTATAATAAATTAAAATATATAGTTATAATATATAGTTACTTATTACATTTTCAGTGAAGTAGAAATAAGGCATACCTTATAAGGAGTCATCAAAGCCTGTATTTCGGATAAAGGCACGTCGGTTCCTGCTACGCCCAACAGTTTTGCAATACGCATCTAAAAATATGTGAATTTAGATTAATTAAACATAAAGCTTCGAAGACAAACTCATTTATCTATCTAGAAACTAAGTTTCAGTGAATATTAAAGATAATTTTTTTTAAATCTTATGAATTCACAAAAATTACTAATCATTTCAATTCTTATATATAAAACCTATTGTCTTAGCAATAATACTATCTACATGATTTCTTTGTCATATCTACGTATGTATGTAATAATAATGTATTTAAAAACTTTTCTTAATTAATTTCTAGCAATAGTTGTTTATAGCATCTACGCCCCGTTAGATATCTATAGACATTACAATCATAAAACTACGTATTTCCGAGGATACTAAGTCATTTTTCGTAATTAAAGGATTCTAGCAAATCTACACAATCAAAAATTAAACATTATATCATAATGAAATAACTACATTTTATTAAACCCATTATTGAACTCACTAGGATGGATGTTCTCTTAGGAGCTTCATTGATTTATCCTTGTAAGAAAGTGTTAATCTTGATTACAATTACTTATAGGCAACAAATTCTCTTTTGTTTTTTGCTATAAGTAGAACATTATTCAAAATATAAACCATATCGAATATTGCCAGAAACAATAGGTTATTGTGCATTTATGCTTAGAAAGAACAAAAGGAATTATCATAACAGGACTAGATTTATCTCAACATTAAATATTTAACTTTAAGGGAAATGTGCTCCCAAATACTTTTCACCCCTTTGTCAAAGTAAGAAATATTTAATGCCGATGCTCTGAACCAATTAAAACTGATAACATTTTTGAATTTAAAATTTGTATATCCTCTTTTAATGCATTATAATAAAAACACAAAGTTGTCCTTTTTTGCAATCAATTGGCAGCACTCATCCGTCTCCAGCCACACAATTCTATTAGAGCGTTGGCCTACCTCTTTTTGGCCGTTCTCCTCTACGGACTGCGATTGGTTGTGGACGAACGAATGCAATAAAATATAATAACATATAGATAAATGCATTGTAAATACCTCCTCTAGATATCAAAATGTCTCCTCGATCAATGAGAAAACTTATATATACACTATATCACCAAGATCTCAAAATTTATATCATTCGGAAAAATATAAAACTGAATAGAATACTCAAGTAAAAGCCCCATATAAGTCTTATCTTGGGCTGCACGATAATTTTATTAAAAATATTTACATTTACTTCTCGTAATACAAGTCAATCTTTAAAAAAATGTCTCTACGAAGACATTGCTAAATTCAAGCAAAAAGGTACATTTTGTTTATCAGAAAGTGTGAGTAATATAGATTATGTTTCTTGCACGGAAATAATTAACTTGATAATTGATAGAAAACTCGATCATAACACCCTAGTGGTCTACTCCTACGATCTAGTAGAAACTACAATACTACAGAAAGCCAAAAGGGTCGAACAACACATGGGCGTCGGCCGAGTAGGCGACTAGAAATTTGACGCAGCGGGCGCTGCCAACATCTATCGAGGACAGATGCATTGCTAACGGGGCCAAATAAGACTTTACCGTTACTGAAATCCAAAAAAAAAACTAAATCATAAAAACTCTCTTGTATCTTGCAAAAACTTTACATTAAAATCATCAAAACTGTCTAAGTGTAGTACCTCTTTTGTAACTGATACCCAGTAAGCTTCATTTATCAGTACATTCTCTGTGATGTTCTGAGGGGAAACCATCAAACAAAACTGAATATTATTAAAAAGGCATATGGAAGAATTACACATTAAAATTGAAGAAATAGACATTATGGTTAATTATAGCTTTCGCCCAATTAATCGAAAGGTTTAACCGATCTGTAAGACTTAACTTTTTCAACATGGTACGAGTAAATGAACAGAAACATTTAAACATGCACAGTTAAAAATTTTGAATTTAGAAGACGGTCAAATAATAATATATTGAATTTATAGGCGGCATAGAACAATATCATGTTTTTGTATAAGATCTTCTCAACATTTATCTCTTGTGTGTAACAAAGATTTTGCTCTATGCCTTTATCTTATAGAAATGTACCCAAGTATAGGAAAAAAAAATTAATTAGATTTGATCGTTTGGAGGACCCACCTCGTTGTGTCGAAGATCGTACACGGGCATGGAGACTGATGTCATCAATTGGTACTGGGAATTTCCCAGTTCGCTATACTGACCATGCTTCATCTGCAGTTTAGGGTGCGAAAATTATCCTTATTTGTTTTTTACAAAAGAAATACGATCGTCTCGGGTGGATAAAATAAGAACTGGATTTATTAATCTTAAATTGATAACATAATTAAACATGAAAAGAGTGATTGAAAATTACTTCAATATTTCGAAAAATTATATATTATGTAATAAATTTCATAAAAATATTGTAATAAATGTCAATGTCAAATTAACATAAATCGTTGGGTATCGGATGAGAGGCTGGGTTCTTATACGGAAATTTACACGAACTTACACGGAATATAAATTATTTTACGATTTTTACGGATTTAGGTACTATTAATTCCATCCATATGCGATTGTATGAAATCTGTTTTCAATAAATTGTACAATTCGGACAGTATTTTTAAAATTAAATCCCGAACTTGAAAAGAACTATGTTTGCCTTTTATTACCTGAGTAATCCTCCACCTTCTATCTTGTTCTTTCTCCGAATTGAAGAGTGCTTTGTCCCTTTTCTGACTTAGGAACCTTTCCTTTTGCTCGGCTCTCTCGCGTTGCTCCCATAAGTAATCCGCTACCTTGGGGTCCTATTAGTTCAGAAGAAATTTTGACACTGATAATTTGATTCCTCAAACGGGGGTTTCTGAGTAGACCACATCTGATTTATAACTTATAACAATTAATGATTCAGACATCATTAAAACATGTAGAAAAAGTACGAAAAGATTGTCACCGCTGTGGGAATCGAACCCACGTCTTCGGCATTCGCGGCCTGACGCTCTAGCCACTGAGCTAAACGGCTGATAGCCACAGCGACGAAAATCTTAACGCCTTCATTCTACATTGTTATTTAGCATTTGAAGCAATGCTTGGTGCATCTATTGTTATATCCTTTCCAGCATACAAACAATTTCGTACCTTTTCTACATGTTTTAATGTTCAATCTTAAGTGCAGAGATTAGCACAATAAAAACTTTAAAATTGATTCAGACATGATTTTGATATTTCGATGCTTATTACGTTAAATAACCAAATAGATAATTTTTTAAAGCCTTTTAAAAGTTATGTTACAGTAATAAATATAGAACACTTACACCCAGTTTCCGAATGCGCAATCAATTTTAATTTACGATAAATCTCTTGTCAAACGTTGTTTAACATGATCTGAGTTGCTAGAACGTCTGAAAACAACATTGATTTTGATTTGCAATTAGTCACTAATTAACGGACAATCAACATAAAATCGGATTTCTGAAAGCGTTTTTCGGTGGTCAACGAGCTGTCAAAAGTTTTATTAAGTAATCTGTCAATTTGGACGATCAATCGTTGGTTAAAAATGTATTTTATCAAAAATCTTAGTTTTTATTAAAAATAAACATAATTCCCTAATACGTTGTAAGGAAATTCATGTGTTCTATTACCTATTTATTATTTATTATTTTGCGAACATATCATGCGATTAGAAAAAATAGAAAATGCAATTCAAAAGTTAAAAAATAATATGGATTCTATCTTTTTATAATACTTACTTGTTTATTATGGATAAAAGTTCATTTTTTTCACGTTCTGTAAAGTTTTTTCTTGACATTTTGCATGTATTTATATAAATTAAATTTATTATAGCTCGGATTTTTACGTTGGCAATCACACGGTGACAGGACTAGATAGTGACATTAATTTAAGTTTTGTTTAAAAAGGGACAGCTATACAATAGAAAGAGTTAGTTGAAGTAAATCATTCTTTTCATTCATTATCATTGGTTATACAGTGATTAGCTAATTTCTCTTGAACAAACCTTCCAGATACCCAAGGCAGTTTAACAAGAGATTAACAGCTGATCATTTTTGACATAGTGCTATGTGATTGCTGCTTTGATTGGCCTTTCGGAAACTCTTTCGATCCCTAATCTAACTTCGTAAATAAAAACAAAACTGTTGACTAAAAATGAAAACTTAAGCAAGTCGGCAATAGAATAGAAGTCCGTTCTCGGAGGAACAAAGCAACGGAAATAACGCCAGATTCATCTGGTTTTGCGATTGTCTGTGGGCGGTGGTGATCAGATGACCCGTCTGCTCTTGCCGTTGCCTTGCCTGCTCCTGCACCTACGAGCACCTGCTTGAAGTCAATTCTGCTGCGGTGAATGTGGCCAAATACTGGACAAGATCAAGAAAAGAAGACGAGTAATTAAAAAAATAAAACGCACCGTAACGTTGGCGTAAACCGGCGTCCAGACCACCGGATGCTTCTCCCTCTGCAGCACCAGCGGACGAGCCAGCACGTTGACGTGCTCCAGAACGCGCTCCCTCACCTCGGCCAGGGTGCTGAGATGGACGTAGAAGCCGCGGTTCGCGCACGCCATCCACTTCACTTCCCTAACATCCGCGACCTGAATTCAACTCATCCGATGTGAAATTCGCTCTAAATCTTCCACACAACAGCTCTAAAAGTGCCGATAGATGTATCGATTCCTTACAATGTCGGTCGACTGCGTCGTGAATTAAAAAGCGGTTTATAAAACCAAAACTTTGAAATTAAACTTTGTAGCGCATATCTAAAAGCCTACGTTATAAAAATATTGTTAACATTATTAAAAAATTTACTATCATGGCAACTATATGGTTTCAATTCTAAAGTGATTACTTCCTAAATAACATCAATGTTTAAAAGATATTAAAACCTTATTCAAAATCTAAGTACTAATAAAAAAACTATAAATTTAAACACATACAAATTTTTATTCAAAAATACATATTGCATTATGGTTAAGAAATGTTAAGGGACATTAAAATGATTGAAACAAACACTAACACACACTACAACACTATCAACAAACTACAAGCGAAAGCGTTATGAAGGTGGAAGTGGGAGAAAATTATCACCTAACTTAAAGCAAGAATACCATGCAATGGTGAGGAAATTAGCTAGAGATATACAATATAGAAAGAAGAGAGTACCACATTCAAGGTTACTGGTAGAAGACTAGGGAAGACATTATGCAGGTCGCACAATGACTACAACACACAGTAATACCTGGAGTGGTACTACCTTTACCTCGCGACCTATCAGGTAAGTGAACACCCTCACAGGAGTGTCATATTTCCAGTTGTACTCCTCGAAGATCTCTTTATAGTTGTATGGGACACCGTCAGTAACGAGCATTATTGCCTGAAAAAACAATCTCATCAGTACCAAATAGCCATAAATATTTACACAAAGCTTAAGCGCTAAAACAAACATAAACTAAAATAACAAGCACAAATGTTTTTAATTGTTAAGTTTTCAGGAGAACATCAATTATATCTCTAAAATAAATGCGCGTATTTTTAAATTTGAATCCAATTTAACGTAAATTTGACAATACCTGATTACAATTAGCGCCGCCACTGTTGTTTCTATATATTTCTAACAACGTGAAAGCTCTAGTCAAAGCCGCTGAGAAGTTTGCTATCTCTGTGGTTTCAAAGTTGTCTAATGCCAGCTTGAGCTCGCGAATGTTTCCCAACGTTGCCTAAAACGTTATGAAATATCAACAATTAAACATGTAATATACTTTCGTGCAAAACGTATTCGAGGAAGATTGCCAACGTACTTGCACCAAGGAGTCGTCGAAACAGGGTACGATTTCCTCCACAGTATCGGCGAAAGTCATCACATTTACGAAATCGTTGTTGCCGAGGGTATCTAGAATATTTGTGACGACATGTTTAGCGATATCGCGACGCTGCCCGGTCATGGAACCACTACGGTCGACCAGGACGACCACGTCTTTCGGGCTGGCAGCTGCTTCCATGTACCATGCCCTTGTACGACAGTCATAAATATCCACCGGATCCGCTCTCCACTTCATTGCTGCGTTACATACAAGATGTTCACCATTCACGATATTTATATCAGTTAACTATACAAGATTCTCACAAGTAAAATATATTACCAGGATAATGTCTCATGAATCCAGACGAGCTGCCAAAGTATTGCCACGACAGTGTCGGATCACTTTGGTAATTATTAATAAAATGTGTATCTAGTCCTTCCGACCAGTGGATACCTTTGATGACGTCCGGTGCTAAAATAAATGTTAACTATTTGTAAATAAGTGTACATTCTTATATACGTATAAAAATATATATGAAATACCAGCTCTCAACAACTCAATACTTTTCCGCATTTCATTTATTTTTATATGGTCGTTGTTTTATGGATTGTTTTATTAAATCCTTCTAATTAATTTACTTAAGCTTTAATCAATGATGTTCTATTTGATAAGTTTGAAAACATTCCTCGTGCAGTCTTCACACAGATCGTAATGTCCGTAGTAATTCGCCACTTACCCCAAGCGTAAACGTTAGTAGGTACATGCACGCTACTAAAGTTGGTATTCACTGGTATATTGGAGAAGTGTGGATTCTGCTGCATGTGTGCACTTTTGCTCGGCGGTCGCACGATCCAATTCTCGAGGTTGAAGTCCGGTTCGGGCGTTGTTGTTATCGTCATCTCGTCGTACGGCTCCTCCATTTCTTTGCTGTTGTAGAACTGGAAGTCCTCGGGAACGATCTCGTTCTGTTTGTCAAATGCCATGTTCTCCGCTGCCTCCACTATCCTCTTGACAGCGCTTATCTTAAGCTCCATCATCGCGCGGATGTCGTCCGCCATACTTTGCACAAGCTTCTCCCCGTCCCTCGATTCGATTTGAGCCGATTTAAAACTCTATCAGTAACAAGAGTTAATCAATATTATGTGCTTTGTCTCATTAAAACATTATTATCTAATTACTTACGTCTTGCACCTCCTTCTTCCGTGTGATAAATTCGCCGAAGTGGTATAGCTCTGTTCCAAGCTTGACGGCCCAGGCTTGAACACTATAAACCCAACACAAAGAACAATACCGCTAATTTTTTTTGTTATATACATTTTTTTCTAAACATTCAGTTACGAGTTTTTTCAACTGTCACAACTTGTACAATGTACAAAACAAAGCTTCAGATCTAATTAGAGTTAATTTACTCAAAAGTAAATATTCCTGAATGTGAAATACCTGTTGAGCGATATTTTGCCTGCGGTTTCATATTGTGCACTTGCCGTACAATCCCTGGAGTCGAGGGATAGGATGAGTATCAGCGACACAAGGCTGCTGATCCGGTGGAACATCAGAGACACTTAATCTAATTTGACCGGTTATTGCATTAGTCCGTTCAAGATTCCACACTCATTTTGTGACAGCCAGGAGCCGAACGCACCGCGATCGATTATTGAATTAAGATAAAACGCGGAGCTCTAGTGTACAGTCGAATTGATAAGGTGCAGGCAACTGTCGGACCACGCAGGCGCGTCGACAGGTCGGACATGCGCTTTACACCCCGCACGTACTACAACTGACGCTAGTGTCGCTAGTTCCGCACATTCCGCCATCCATCCGCCATGAGCCATCTGATGCCGCGTTAGTGTGCATGTCATGTACACACTACAGCTTTTACTTGCCGTTTCGTTCCACTACCGATGGGCATCGATTTATTCGCTACGCTACTAGGTCAGTGTTGCAAGGTGTTGGGGATGGGCAATGACATACAGCGCAAGGGTAAATAGCTTTTATTGCGAAAGTAAGAAAGATACAAATTCAATGTGCAATAGTGTATTTATCATTGTATTAGTAATGCGGCGGTTAACAGGGCGGCAGCCGATACAGTGAAGGCCAGCGGATTCACGCAAGCTATGCTGCCCAATCCGCAGGCTGTTATGTTTCTTTCCTGTTGAGCAAACACATTTACTATAATTACCGCGAAAAGTTTCCTGGATATAAAAAGTAATTTAAAAATTAAATTTTCATTTTTAATAAAATAAAAAAGAAATATTATGTATTTGAAGTTTGTTTATTTGGAGTTTTGTTTACTATATAATATAGTAATTATTTTTTTCTGTACAACGATATTGTTTCACATTTACAGAAAAACATGAATTTTCTTTACTGATACTGATGAATTACATTCTACCCTCAATACTACTTTTTTATTAATTTATACGAGCCGGTGTAAACTGCTACTACATCCTGCCAAAAGTAAAGTGAAAGTTATTAAATTACTGTTTTTCTTATGAGTTAAGTATTATTTAGAATTATAAATGGATTTTAAAATATCAAGCCTAATACACAGTTAAAAATAATTTGCGATTATAAAAGGCAGCAAAGACACACTAAAACGAAGCAAAAATTATAATGTTATTTTTAATCAATAGTAGTTTTAATCAATATTTTCGATAACTTTCTAAATATCTTTACAGTTTCATGAAAAGGGGCCCTTTGAAAAGTCGGTAAATAAATAAAAATAATTAGGTATATATATAACATTATCGAGTAAAAATGTAACATTATCGAGGAAAAAGTCATCACGTGTAAAAAAGTTTCTATTGTTATTTAACATTCGTTAATAGATTGTCGAATTCGCCACGAATTCACACTGTAGGATATAAAATGTTATTTGGTATTGTACGTTCTAAAGGTAAACCATAATACCTCAGTGTAAGCTTATATATAATTTTACGAAACTATTACACATAAACCCTGGAACCCAGATAATGCCCGGAAACATTATCTGTCATACAAATATTCGTCACGAGTGGTGATCAGAACGATAACAACGTCCTCTTAACTTGACAACCAATCAAGCCATCGAAGCTATAAATAAATAGTACCATTACGTGGTAAATGAAACAGTTTTCTAGTATATATGCGTCGAAGTGGTGGAGCATCAAAGCGGCTTTAGCCCGAATGGGCAGGCTCATTAGAAATTCCACAGCCTCCACCGAAGTCAATTGGAAGTACTTTTACTTTTTCATTTCGTATGGAAAACAAAGGTAACGGAAATTAACTCCGTTAAAGCTTAAACTGCACGTCACCCCAGGTGCTGTAGACGTCTTTTGGTGCACGATTGCATTCTGCCTCACATAAAAAGCGAACTTAATCATTAAACATCGGATTATATGCATTCGCATGTTTGCTTATGCAAATGCATAAAACGCTATATATTCTGCATCGTTATTACATATTTTGGCACATTTTTATTAATAGTTCTTATTTAAGAAGTTAAATATGTCATGCGTGTTGTATTATGCGGGAACACTCATTTTTTTTTACCTATCTTGCTTCACATCACCTCTCTAGCCCACGGATTAGACCGACTTGCGGAAGTGATCAAGAAAGAGCTCGGGAATGCCAAATAATTAATTACCTCTGCAAAGGAAGTATTCTTAAAAGCACCATCGCGAGTAATAGCATATAAAAAGCAACTGCCACACATAAGACTACCCTCAGAATTAATAGTAACTACGTCAATTAAGTTAGTAGTTGGGGAACTTTATTGAAAACTTGTTTTATATCACTACATAGTATAAATCGCATCGGTAAAGCAGCCACTACATTCGGGAGGCTGCGTAGAAGGGCTTGGTACAATAAAAACCTCACGATAAAAATGAAAATTCTTATTTACCAAGCGTGCGTCCTAAGCACTCTTTTGTACGGAGCGGAATCCTGGACTACATACGCAAAACAAGAACGCCGACTGAACACTTTTCATATGCGCTATCTTCGGAGCATAATGGGCATCACTTGGAAGGATCATGTGACAAACGAGTTTATTCTAGGCATCGCACAGCTCCATAGCTTCGCAGCCATATTAAAAAAGAAGCGTTTGAAGTGGCTCGGGCATGTATATCGAATGGAGCAGTCTCATTTACCACGCCAAATCCTACTAGGAGAGATTGCAAACGCAAAAAGGTCGGTCGAGCGGCCAATACTCCACCATAAAGATTGCGCCAAGCGTGACATGGCTGCCTTTAACATCCCTAGCGACCGATGGCAGGAGCTGGCCGAGAATCGTCTCGAGTGGCGTCGCCTTATCCAAACATGACACCTGGTTCCAGGTATTAAAAGAGAAACGCATGCGGTGCCACAAGCACGTCTCCCATCCTCGGCCACCTGGGAGAGCATACACTTGTCGTGAGTGCGGTCGGGGGATATATATATATATACTCTTTTGCATAGGCCTGTACAGCCATGAACGCAGGTGTTGTCACCGTGATGCTGCTTAAAGCATCTGACACAGATGAAAAGGCCTGTAAAAAAAAGTATAAAACAAAGTCGTCCCGCTGTCTGTCTCTCCCTATGTATGCTTAGAACTTTGAAACTACGCAACGGATCTTGATGCGGTTTTTTTTTGGTAGATAGTTATTCAAGAGGAAGGTTTATATGTATAATACATTGCACCTATGCGAAGCCGGAGCGGGTCGCTAGTGTTTTTATATCTAGACACCTTATCGTGGTATGTGAAGCAGTCTTCGAGGCGGCGCCGCGGCAGCTGGCCCAACTCCAGCTTGTGGCAGGGCTCGCGGCTCGTGGTCGAGTCCGTTGTGGCCACCGGCCGCGTGTCGGGCGGCCTTTCGCAGCCGTCCCCGAAGTACCACGGGCCCCGCTCGACCACCACCAGCAGCAGGTTGGTCTTCGTCACCAGCGACGCCCAGTACGGCGGGTGGCAGCCGCCCTCCTCGTCCTCCGACACCACCGGCGACGGCCCCATCGAGTCGAGGAAATACGACTGGTTCAGTATGTACAGGCTGATGCGGTGGTCGCACGAGAACAGGCTGCTGTTCACCTGGGCGGTCTTCGCCGTGTCGTTGGCCAGCGGCGGCGGGGTCGTCGTGTCTGCGTTATTGGTTAAGCGGCTCAAAAAGGGATTTTGTTATTTTTTGTAAGAGGCAAGCGAGCTAGCGGTTCGTCTGATGTTAAGTGATGACCACCGCCCACGGACATTTGCAACAACCGTAGAATTGCAGATGCGTTAGCACCTTTTAATAAAGGGGGCCCCGCCTACCTCACTACCGAAACAAAACGCAGAGGTATGACACTTCCAGTTCACGCCGGTCTGCTGTTCTGGTACTTATCCGGACGGACCTGCCCATTCGTGCAACAGAAAAGGCTGTTGCAGGAAGAATCAATATCCCCGACCTAACATAATTGATGAAAGTAAGTAAAAAATTCTATACTTAGTTGCGATAAGTAATTAGAATGTGAATTATAAATCGTATGGAAACGTTTCCACTCAATTTGTTTTCGGCGCGTTATGTTCAATAGAGAAATTCATATTCCGCCCGTCCCAGACAGGCGCGTAATTACATTGGGAAAGACCGTAATTGTAGTTTCTTGATGATATACCGTGCAACAAATTATAAAAATTATGTGTGTCATTTGCTACGATAAGTGTAAACTAATAAGGGCTAACAAAATCAAATAACAATTATATATTTTAAAATAGAATCTACTATGTATGTTTGTGTTACATTCGGATCATGACCCTTGTGACCCCGCCCGGCCCCCCAAGATCCACGCCAGTACTCAGCGGGTTATTATTTTATTAGCGACTTCCTGTTAGAGAAGTTAGCTTATTCCTCTTCATAGTCATTGCCATTGACCATAAATTGGATTTAACATTTCTGTCCAAAAATTTAAATTATTTGAACTATGTTTTTATTTTCATCGCAAAGCATGAACATAGAACTTCTCAATTTAAAACATTGAAAACTTAATTAAGCTTTTATCACAACACTGCTATATCACTCACCAGCCATTTTAAATGTACAAACAATAAAATAATTTTTTAAAACTGTTTTTATTTAACCACTAACCTTCCTCTTCACTGGCAACATAAACATTTCGCTGCCAATTACCAATATCAAACAGGAGTAAAGCTAATTCGGTTATCAGCCAGTTAACAAAATTCTTTGCTGCGTTGAAAGGCTGTAAATTAAAAAAAAATATGTGTGTCTTATAAGGACAATTGGGCATTTTTAATTCAACAATTTAAAAATAATCTTAATCCATACCGTGCCGAACATCCAAGCATTGCTTTCGGTATTGGGCAAAGCAGACACTGGACAAAGTGCTTGGTAATTGAATACTTCTACATGTTCAAAAATATGCTTTTCTATAAACGATTGGATTATGTGAGGGTGGACGGCGCCAAAAAATTTACCAACGTCGGTTTTGGCCCTTGCCAAAACAATGTACCCTGAACTATCTATGACGTAGCAGTCGTAGGTGTCGGAATCGCAAGAAAATTCCTGAAAAGCAAAAGGCGTGTATTTTTTGTGAATTTGGGTTTTTTTTAGGTTTCAGTATTTTTAATCATGTTATACTTTATGCGCGTTAGGGAAAACATGATGAAAGTGAATTACTACGATGCTCCCGCACAGCGCATGGAATCAACATTATGAAGTTGTTCAATAAATATCCTTTTAGTATGATATAAAGATATCTATGTATGTAACACTTCAGTGTTACATACATAGATATCTTTATATCAATTCACGCTATATCTAAATTAAGTGGTTGACCGCTAGTGGCTAGAGCGTCTAGATACGTAATCCGGAAGGTTCAGTGAACAGCAACAGTTTTATCTACACATTTTAAGAAGAAATCTTTTTTATACGAGAAAGTGGCAAACGATTTATATTTTAAATCAACTAACACTGGTCGTGTTCGTAATCTCCAAGAACTTCTTGTAGAAACCGGAGTAGACGAATTGGAAGCCGACCACGGACGCGGGCGTTTCCGAATTGCCGTCCTTATAGAATATGGCGTAGGTCGCGGTGATGGTAATGTCCCCGGTCTCATCCTCTACGGTGGTGTTGGCGATGGTCGTGTCCAAAACTGGCAGCTTGGTGGCCACCACCAGCGACTCCTTGTTGATCAGGTCCTGCAGCACGGCCGCTTTGTACCAGGTCTCCTCGATCGCCTTCGGGTAAAGGTCACCGAACACCCTGCAGTTGGAAAATTTCGATGTTAGTGTCATTAATATGTTAGGCTATAATACCAACTGTTCTCCAAGTTTAGCTCGATGTAATGTCGCCCATACATGTGTATTTACACAAAATTACATAGTGAACCTACTTTCTTCATTGACGGTGTTGGTTAATATAACGAAAAAATTTAATTAAATCTTGTGTCAGTTCATTTTAAAATTAATTGCTTTATAACAATAAAAGTTAATAAAAGTTCATTAAAGAATAATTATTAGCTTATATTAATAATTAGGCTATAGACAATAATGTTTTAGTATCTAAATAATATAAAGCATGTCCACAATGCGCGGCGTTTGATATAGAAATAGTCTATAAAGTTGCATTTGACGTACGCTAGCCATAGATAGAATCAGACCGAACAGAAGAGAGAATACACCAATTTCCGTAATTAAAATTGCTTATAGTTTCGACGTTTCAGATATAGATAGCCATAGACACATCTTATTTTTTTTGAACTTTCGAGAGGAATCGGCCGTGAAACATGCAATCTTTCCTTTCTTTCTTTTATCTTCTTATCATTATTTCAATAAAAATATATATACTATTTACTCTATCATAAATGCCGTTAACCGAGTTTGATTGGTTTCTGAGGCAGGGGTTGACCTTTTATAAACAAACTTACAAATAAATTATTTTACCGCTTTAAAACACATATGTATGACAATTTCCACACATGATAACTCGGTGGCGTAGTTGCTAAGGTATTGCCTTCGGTAGGGTCATGGATTCGATACCCACATAGGAAAAGTATTTATTTGACCCACAGATAATAATTTTTCCGCATCTGGGTTTTATAAGAAGAGTTGACCTCAGGCAGGCCCGTGGCCAACAACAACGTGTTGTGTCGAGCCCAACTTGCGTGGAATGAAGACAGGAGAAAGAAGATGATAATTTCCGCACAATTCACACTCAGAACTCATCGTAACGTTTTATAAGAAAAATAATGTATAATAACTTATAAATCTAACGACCTTCTTTGAAAAATTAATCAAAGAACTTAATGAATACTTGCTTGCCACTAAAGCTCCTGCTCTTCTCTCCTTGCTCTGTGACCTTCTCATTCTTCGAATCATCGTTGATGTAGTGCCATCGAGTAAGTCCACTCGACGTTGCTATGAACCGCACACTGACATTGTACTCATTAGCTAGTTTCCTTTCCTCGTCTGTGGCACGCCACGTGGCGAAATAGGGCGTGGTGAGCTTGGCGTCGAATACCAGCTGTTTCACCAGATCCTCGTTGCAATAGTAATCGTCCTTGCCAAGCTGCTCTCTCTCATCGCCGCAGTGCTCTGAAAAAAGTATACATCCGATATTATACATACATGTTTACAACTATGGTAGGAACGTGCAACAGTGTTCACTGCTCACTGCAGGTCCGTCCAGCTAAGTACCAGTCCGGTTAATCCGTCACTTAATTTGTACACAATTATGTTACATTTAGTTATAGTTTAGTTATAGTTATCACTTAACATCAGGTGAACTGCCAGCATCTTTTGCCATTTTTAAAAAAATATGAAAAGAAAAGAAATAATGTTGAACACAAAGAAGTCACGATGATATGACTATAATTAATGTAAAGGATCTATCACAACATTGTACACATTAAGCAATCATGAAATAAAATCGTTATTAAGGTTCCTTCCAGCAAATAAAGGAGTAAACAGCTTTTGTAACATAAAAATTATAAATTAAAGAAATTAAAAACTTGTTGTACATTTTATACTGTTTGAGAAACGGAAGAAACATTAATTAATTAAAAAAGACAAATTCAAATAGTTGTGCGAACAAAGCAATTCATTATTTATTATTAAAATTAAACTCAATAAGCAACAAGACACTTGAAAGAACAGAACTAAAGTAGAAACAAACTTCACGGAAAGTTTTGCTTTCTGATTGTTTCCAAACTGAGTGCTGGTTAATTTCTTATATTGAATAGAAACATTCATAGATAAAACTATGTAATATAATTATTGAAAAAGTAAACATAATGGGTTTTCAAACATATAGAAAAGTTCTGTTGGATGTATTCATACTAACTTTCGAAATCAAATGAAGTACTCTCGAAGTCGTCGCGATATTGTGTCTTCGTAATATTAAGCTCGTTCTTTGAGATATTTACTAAGAACTTGAACATTTCAATTTCGGCATTTTCAGACTCGTGACCTTCCAGATAATGATATTTACAATAAACCCTGAAAGTACAAAAACAATTAATTCTTTAATGATATATCATAATTTGGCAGTCTGGAAATAAATAAGATTAAGAAATAAAAAAGCAAACATTTTTTTCTATTCAGCTACAAAAAAATTAAAGCGATAAGTACAGAATTACTCTTGAGTTCATCCAAATTTCCAAACGAGCTGATTTGTGAGTGAGAAAAGAAATTCTAAAGTATTAATAACAAAAAAAGATCACAGTATAAAACAAATCGTTCCGCTGCCAGTCTGTCCCTACATATGCTTCGATCTTTAAAACTGCAACGGATTTTGATGCGGTTTCCTTTAATAGATAGAATGATTCAAGGGGAAGGTTTATATGTATAATTCATGCATAATATAGGAGAGAAGCACCGATAATTTTAGAGGTTTCTAATGCGATGTCAAAAACAAACATTCAGCATTGCACCCGTGCGAAGCCGGGGGGGGGCGGGGGGGGGGGGGGGGGGTCGCTAGTAAATATATAATCTACAATTACAGTAAAAACAGCACTCACCAATCAGGATGTACCCTGTAACTGAAATTGAAGTAACTGGTGACGTTAATTCCGGTCACCTCTAGGCCCTGCTTCGCTTCGAGAGGATTATCTTTAAGTAACAACTCAGTGTCACCATAACCTCCAGGTAGTGAGATGCCCATAGAAAATGGTGTCCCCACAAGCTTGTTAAAGAAATAGTCATGCTTAACACGCGCTATCCGCCTGTAGTGAAAGCATAATTTCGAAATAAATTCCAAATGAGTAAATTAGTACAGCAACGAATTTATTTAATGATAGTATTTATTCTGTTTAATTACTATTTAATAAGTAGCATCGGATATGATAATTTTAGGAAGCTTTTTTTACTATAGATGACATACCGAATATATCATAATTATAATCAATTCTAAGGCCTAGTGCAAAATGCTCCAACCATAGAATCTAAAATCATATATTATTCATTTATTAATTAAATAAATGAACTTCACTTGGCGAAGTTACCAATGAATTTTGTCTCAGTCTAAAGCTAGCCATAAGTTGCTCAAATATAAGCCGTTTGCATTCTCGTACCACTATTCTGTGATTGATGACGTAGTTGTCACGTTATTAGCTTCGTCGTAGGTTGTCGTATGTTCGATCCTACACGGGGCAATTATTTGTGTGATCCACAATTTTTTTTATATCTGAGAAAGTGCCAAACGGGCTGACGGTTCACCTGATGTTAAGTAATTATCGCCGCCCATGGACATCTGCAACGTTGCCACCTTTAAATATAGTGGGCCCCGGCTTCCTCACTCACCAGACGAAACGCAGAAGAGTAACGCTTCTTCTTTAAGCCAGTCTTCTGTGAGGTCGCGGTACTCACCCGGACGGACCTGTCCATTCGTGCGACAGTGAAAACTGTTGCGTGGCCCTACCACAGTAATTGTTCTGGATCTGGGAGTTTGTTCCTAAGGAGGGTTGAAATCAGGCTGGCCGTAAAAATTTACCCAAGTGGGATAAGGGCTGGAAGAGGAAAAGGACTAAATTATGCTTTATCAGTTACCTCATGTTGTCGTAATGAAATAACACCTTCACTTCGGTCTGCTTGCCTTCATCTCCATTAACAAGATGTTCCCTCAGCGATTTTATCTCCTCGCCAAGCTCCCGCGGGCCCTTTCCATCGTCGACCTGTTCCACTTCCACGAAATCCACACTGTTGTAGTTCGTTTGCAAGATGCTGTTTATCTATAAACGTGACTCCGTATTAGCGACGGATCAATGATCCTATACGTAAAGATCCTATTGCTGAAGCAATATTGCTAGGGGCGAAAACTGTTTTGACATTTTATCTCAATTACAGAAACTAAAAATTAAATTGATTATTAATTTCAATAGCAAAACAGCTCTCTACAAATATTCATTATAAAATATTATTTGAGAAAAACGTTTCTGGATGATGATGACATATTTAATAAATGGTTCCTACTAAAAAGCAATAAAAACAAATAAGGTTTCTTCCATTTCCCGTAATCATCGATGCTGCAAAACATTCAAAACGTCGCGAATTATACCGGAAAAATATTTTTTTTTATTCGAAACTGGCCAGCGCTTGACATCCCACCTGATGGTAAGTCGTGATGGTGATGCAGCCATTAATGGCAAGTTTAATTTAGCAATGTGTAATATTCATGGAAGAATAAATAATTATAATGAAAATTCCTGTCAAATAAGGAAGCAATAAAAGGCCTTGTTATTACGCCATTTAAGCGCCATTTATGTTCACCGCTGGCGAAAATGGCAATCTTACAGCATTAAGGCAAGGCTATTACGGCCCTAACCTAATAGATTTTGACCCGCTATCAGATATTGAACACAATATTTTCTACAATCGTTGACCACATAATAAGTCTACACTTAAAATTTCAGTTAAGAATTTCGATGATTTCGGCACAGGGACTTTTAACTCAGGTTGGTAGAGTATATTATTGATTAAAAACGACCGCCCAGACACTGAGCTATCACGATTATATAATCGTTATAATATTGAGCTATGTGAAGTAGGCAATCCGCTATGCCATCGCGTGGGTTTTATGAATGTTTGAATGCCCTTTAATTTTGATGGCAGGTTTACATTAGTTAACATAAATGTAAGAATTACATTTGAACGCGTCTATATTTTTAAGTGTTGATAAAAAAGTTCTTAAAACAATTTTCTGTTGCAATATCGCGCTCTCTTTTTGTAGGTATATAAGGGAACCGCTTCCATTTTTATAATAAATGCGCAATATAAGACTCGTTAAGTTTTCGTCAAATTGGATGGAAAAATTAATTCCTTTCTTTTGAAAAGGAATTAATTCAATCCAAACATTTGTGTTTGGTCGTCGCATATTACTGTCATTTATTTCAGGGACAGCAGGGCAGGATTATTATATACAGGATGGCTTTTCTAAGTGTATTCAATTTTATTTATTAGATTCTAGACATAAATAATGTTATATAAAAATGATAAATATTTAAAACCACTCATAAGTAATTAATTACATTCATTTGAACTTATCTCAAAAAGTGCGTGATTTATACGCAACTCATTTATTTTACGCGCGATCATTCATAACTAACACGCACACAAGATCGTGCACAGTAAAATTTAGGTATTTATGAATGACTACCGCATTGTCAACACGTTCTGTTTTTTAGGGAATAGAATCTCATTTTTGTGGAAAAAAATACTTTGTTTTTTATTTCAATAAACGATTGTACTACCGAGTCTGAACCTCCTGTGTAAATTTCTGCACTTCTCAAAAAATCTTCCTGTATATACTAGCTGACCCGGCATGCGTTGTTTTGCCATATAAATTATTTGTAGGGTAGAAAAAAATGTTTGGGGTGGACCACCATTAACATTTAGGGGGATGAAAAATAGATGTCCAATCTCCACCCTGGCCGATATGCACACAAAATTTCACGAAAATCGGTCGAGCCGTTTCGGAGGAGTTGAATTACAAACACCGTGACAAGAGAATTTTATATCTTAGATATATACGGCATTTGACATTATTGGTCGATAACCATTTTTTTAAGTTGATTCATTTATTCATTAGTGTAAGTACATCGATAACAGTGACAGTGCTACTTACGGACGTAATTAACAGCGGATGCAGGAGTAAATATCCATTATTGCTCACTATAAACGAATATCCGTTGACGCCGAGCTGAAAAGTAAATTATTTTAGTTCATTAGAAAATAATAATTCATTCGATGCCGACGATAGCAGTTTAACGTTAAATTTATTTATAAACACTGACAGTGTAAAGTTTCATTGTTTGCACTGCTTTTGTTAGCTAGACAGAAAATTAAAAAGATATAAAACATTATTGAGGTCAATATTTAAGATTGACCTTCATGAGTGAATGTTGTACAAGTAGTAAGAAACCGCTCTTATAAATAACCTTCGAAATCACTTCATCGTCAACTTCACATTCAAACATCTAACTCTTAATCTATCATCTTACAGCCACTGTTATAGAGATATAATTTTTCTTTGTTTTCGGCGGTTTTATTAATTTTGCATTTTTTTGGAACAAAAACTTTTTGTTGTTCTTTTTCGTATGCTACGAAATAGGTTATAGTTCCGGAGGTCCCATAAAGGTAACGCTTTTTACACTAGATTGTACCATTTATTAGTAACATATGAGCATTGAGACCTGGTGGGGCTGCGCCAACTTCGCTATACTATCGATCGGTACATCCGTACCAGCCACTCCCAGCAATATAGCGTCATTGTGTTCTTCGTTGTATTTGTAGTCGAATGCCGGAATAGCTACGGACGTCACCAGCTTGTCCTCGTCAGGCTGAAATTTATAGACCTTTTTAAATCCATGTAAATTATTTATTATTGTTTTACTCTTTAAGTTTTACTCTGACCAGTTAATATCTACACATTTTAAGAGGTTAATCTGAGAACTGATTAGTAAGAGGAACTTGACAGACGAAATTACCATTACATTGGAGAATGCCTTTCTTTAATTTTCAATGAATGTTGACTGTGATAATCGCTGTGAATATTATTAAAATAATTTAAGAAGTTACTTAAATACTGTTTTAAAACTAGCCCTAACGTTTCTATTTTGGTATGTACGCGAATGTACTAGTGGAATGTACCGGTGAAAGTACTAGTGGTTTTTAAAGGTAAATATTAACAACTCGAAACAGATACTGTTTTAAAGAGTCATATAATGAGTAAGTTATAAATGAAACTAATTTTTACGGATTTATCGTGGAAAAATTAGTTTCATTTATAATGTGTAATCGCGTAAATAGAAGAAATTATTTTGAGTAAGTTGTTAATATTTACCATTTTTAATAATTCAATGCCTATTTTTCATATTCTTGGCAGTGAAACGTGAAAATTTTAGCAGCTCAGTTCGTCTGTCTCCTATTACGTCGGGAAAGTTATTATTAAAATTGACTTACAGCGTCTGCATCGATGCTAACGTTCCACTCTTTGGTTCTCTGCGAAAAAAAATATTATTGCACTTGTGATTAAAATTATTAATAAGAGATTCTTCTTTAAAGTTAGGTAGCTTCTACCTACCTAGAGTTACCTAAAGTTAGTTCATTAATAATCATAGAATGTAACAAAACCCTTTATACAGCGTGTCGTTACCATCGCGACAATAAATGAACACACGTCTAACGCTACTTGCCAATAATCATAAAAAAATATTAACGTTTAACAAAATCCATAATTAATCCATAATTAAAAAAATATTTTTCAAACAAACTAATTAAGTAAAAAAGAAACAAAAATTGTAACATCCTATACAACTTGCGCCACAGCGTCGCATTACAAGCCTCTCCTTCTAACAGTATGTTTTGTCTGTTTTAAATTCATTCAACCCATTCATATGCTTTGTGACCTTTACGTTACAAATGAACTTTACGTTACAGTTTTATACGTAAGGGTGTTCTAAAATTGTTTGTTTAGGAAAATTAAATAACTCGGTAAATATTGATGTTTAAAGAATGTAAATGTTTAATACAATTTTAAAAAATTATCCTCTATATGTGTGTTCATTTATTGTCGCGGTGGTAACGACACACTGTATATGAATAATGGACAGTTAAGATTACTTTCATTGTTCCAGAAACAAAATTGAAGTGCAAATATATGAAATCGTATTTTTATACCAGTTATAGTGTAGAGAGAAAGTGAAAAATGAATTATAGAATAAATATATTTTATACAGCGTGTCGTTACCATCGCGACAATAAATGAACACACGTCTAACGCTACTTGCCAATAATCATAAAAAAATATTAACGTTTAACAAAATCCATAATTAATCCATAATTAAAAAAATATTTTTCAAACAAACTAATTAAGTAAAAAAGAAACAAAAATTGTAACATCCTATACAACTCGCGCCACAGCGTCGCATTACAAGCCTCTCCTTCTAACAGTATGTTTTGTCTCTTTTAAATTCATTCAACCCATTCATATGCTTTGTGACCTTTACGTTACAAATGAACTTTACGTTACAGTTTTATACGTAAGGGTGTTCTAAAATTGTTTGTTTAGGAAAATTAAATAACTCGGTAAATATTGATGTTTAAAGAATGTAAATGTTTAATACAATTTTAAAAGTTATCCTCTATATGTGTGTTCATTTATTGTCGCGGTGGTAACGACACACTGTATATGAATAATGGACAGTTAAGATTACTTTCATTGTTCCAGAAACAAAATTGAAGTGCAAATATATGAAATCGTATTTTTATACCAGTTATAGTGTAGAGAGAAAGTGAAAAATGAATTATAGAATAAATATATATATATATATATATATAAATATGTAATATTGAAGTGACCGATAAAAATTTTTGTTCTTTTATTGAATAAATGAGAAGTTAATATCGTTTAAAACATTTTTATTATCTTCTTTTATATATTTTTATTATTTCATTGAAACTATAGGTTCGCGTTGAACCTAAGTTTGAGACTTGATATACTCTATATTATAATATTATATATCATATCATCATATGATAATATAATATTATAATATCCATTCGTACGAGCTTCGTACAGTCGTACCATAATTATACATATTACATACACGTTAAGCGAAAGTTCGGCCGAGCTTAGGCGGAGTGGGGGGAGGGGGGTGTTAGGTTTTATTTTCGTTACGGAATTTCTTGCTTCGGTCGCCGCTCAAAGACCGCGATAAAAGCTATGCAATAGCTTAAAATATTGAAACCCTCCACTATTTTATCAAAATTTAATCATAATTAGAAAAATCTAAGCAGTAACTGGAAATTTAAAGGACAACATATTTGTAAAGAAACGTTTAAATGTTTTTTTGTTGGGTCTCCAACTTGAGAGTTCAAAATGAATAATCGCTTGAAAGGACGGGTCTTATTAAATTCTTCCGCTAGCGATAGCAAAACGGTTCTTAAAAGAAAATAAATAAAACGAAGGGTTCCGTACCGTATCTATAAAAACTGCAAAAAATCATGTCTGTTGTATGGGAGCCCCACTTAAATATTTTTTATTCTTTTTTTAGTACTTGTTGTTAAAGCTGCAACAGAAATACATCATCTGCGAAAATTTCAACTGTCAAACTATCTCGATTCATGAGATATAGCGATTCATGAGATATCATATATATATATATATATATATATATACAGCGTGTCGTTACCATCGCGACAATAAATGAACACACATATAGGGGATAGCTTTTTAAAGTTGTATTAAACATTTAAATTCTTTAAACATCAATATTTACAGAGTTATTACATTTTCCAAAACAAAGAATTTTAGAACAGCCTTACCTATAAAAGCGTAACGTAAAGTTCATTTGTAAAGGTCACAAAGCACATGAATGGGTTGAATGAATTTAAAAGAGACAAAACAGACTGTTAGAATGAGAGGCTTGTAATGCAACGCTGTGGCGCGAGTTTTATAGGATGTTACAAATTTTGTTTCTTTTTTACTTAATTAGTTTGTTTGAAAAATATTTTTTTTTTATTATGGATTATGTTTAACGTTAATATTTTTTATGATTATTGGCAAGTAGCGATAGACGTGTGCTCATTTATTGTCGCGATGGTAACGACACGCTGTATATATATATATATAATCGGAAACGGCACCAGCAATTTTCATGAAATTTAGTATGTGCGTAGATTCGGGGGCGAAAAATCGATCGAGCTAGGTTTAATTTTTTTTAAATGTCCTTTTATCCCTGTTTTCAGGGAATGAATTACAGGGAATGAAAATAGCTTTCAGGGAGGATATCATTCGAATATGACAGTAAATTACGCCACAAAAAAAATGTTATAATAGCTCGGTCGGTAATCGGGCGGCCCCTAAACAGACGGCCGCGGTTCGTATCACGACCATTTACACACTTATTTTATTACTTTTTTTTCTATACCAGATCATTTTCTTTATATTTTTTATTTCCAAAATACATGATTTACCAAAAAAAACGGTCCTCCAGGAAATTATGAGTTATATGTCGTGAATGCAAATTATATATTATGTAATCGTAATTAAATTTACGTATATTTCGCTATTAGTTGCAAATGTGTTAGTTTAGTTACAAATTACGACCAGAATCAAAATTTATCACGTGATACTAAGTAGAAGGGGAGAAAATTACTTTTCTTGTTATAATATCCTGTGGTCCGTTGATACTCTCGAATACATGCTACTTTATAATTTAGCGTATCCTATCTTGGAGTAGCTTTGACTAGCTTCGAGCCTGTGAACGTCAACCGAAAAACAGTTACCGTGTAATCGATCGTGGCATGAGTCCAAGTCGGCGGCGGCTCCCTGCCCTCCAGGATCATGGGGCGCGCAATCACGTTGATGTACTTCAACACTTGCTGCTGCACTTCCTCCACCGAATGGATGTGGACGAAGTACCCTAAGACCATAGACGATTTATTTCTCTTTTTTTTTTAAAGACATTGCCCTTACTTCAGGATAACTTTATTCTGTGTTGTTAGGACGTTTTACAAACATAAATTTCACGTGAACAAACACCCAGATGCGAAACAACTATCTATGGGTCACACAAATAGTCGTCACGTGTGGGAATCGAACCCACGACCCCTGACGCCGAAGCCAATGCCTCGGCCACTGCGCCACGGAGTCATCAAATTTGATTGTACAGGTTATAACCGGCGTTATGAATTTACATTAAAATTGGCTGTTGGTGAACCTATTTCTGGGTAAAAAATGGTGTTCAAATCGCCGTTTTTTTCTTTTAAGGACGAAATTTGTTGGTTAACTAGCAAAACCATTGTCGTTATGAATTTACCGCATGGGTGATCGCTTTTTCTACGAAATTTGTTGGAACTGCAAAACCATTGTCACCGCAATCATTTTTCTCGTCCGTTGTTAAATATGTTTTAAAAGTTCCGGAGCACATGGTCGGTATGTATGTGGCATTAGTATTTATTTATAGAAAAAAAATCTATATTTATTGAAATTCACAGATATTTAACCTGAAACTGATTTTAAATGAGTGATCCACTCTACGTACTCGTACGATACGACCGTACTCTGAAACATCAATTGGGAATTAATTAGTATTAATTTTTCTCTTAATTGTGAATTAAGATACAATTAGGAGAAAATTGAATAGTCTTGAATACGAATTAATAACACTCCAATTGCCGAATTAATGCGTTAAATCTTAGTTAAAACATTTTGATGTCTCTGACATTGCGTGGCCTTGGACCTTGGACCACCAAGGGCTGTAAAATTTTTGAAACACCGCAAAAATTGGTAAAATCAAACCTTACCGCAAAAATTAGTAAAAGTTCACAGTCTAATCCCTTTTTTCTTATTTTGAATTTAAAAACTTATGAAACTTTTGCGCATGACTTCAAGATATAGGCTTCGCTAGTGTTCATAAGTCCTTACCCCTGTTTAAGCACGCCATCCATTGTATCTCGCGTACGTTGGTGACCTCCTTCCCTATCAAGTAGGTGAACACCCTCACGGGTATATAAGTCTTCCCATCAACCACCTCTCGGTTGTACTCTTCGAACACTTCGGTCAAGTTGCCAGGCACGTAGTCCGTTATCACCATCACTAGTTGGTTGCATCCCTGGGTGCTGGTGACGTTGCAGTGTTGTCGTTTCTAAAAATAATCATGGTAATAGTGTTAATTTAAAATAGAAAAATATACTGTTAACAAAGCGAAAAATGCTAGTCGGGACGTTAATCGATGTACAACATGTTTATAGTACATAATATATTTCTACATGAGGTGAAAACTTTATATTCCCTTTCAAGTAATACTGCGAGCATGAAGGAGTTTGGAATTAGCAATTGTGAATGTTTATATGGAAACAAGATGCATATAAAGCTAAAAAGTATGCCAATTTATTTTATAAACATATGCAATAAAGTAAAATAAAACATTAATTATTTACAACATACTTATATAATATTGTCTCCTCATTTAATTCTATTAGTTACAGTCTACTTATTAGGTACTTGTATACATGGAATTTATATATCAAGTTATAAGACTTATTCAAATGTAATTTATTATGATTGAATGCTAGATTTATTCAATTATTTGGGATTCAATTTAGAATTGTATCATTGGAATACTCTTTCGTAAAAGTTTCGTAAAATACGCCCCGAAGTGAAGCGTTCTTTGTCTAACGCAATCAGCCTTTGAATTTGACGTTATAAGGCTCATTAAGCCAATTATAAAACACAAGGCTTAGTACAAAATTGAAAAACTTTAAATGTATATGGTACTTATAAACCAAATATTATTATAACTTATAATGAATATAATAACCGTTTTTGGTTATCTATTTCACCTTAATTAGTTTTAAATTTGCTTTGCAAAAAGTATACCTTTTCTCACCTCTTTCAACGTAGTAAATGCAGTTATATAGGCCATTGTGAGGTTGGCGTTACCTTCTAAAGGCACTTTGTGTTTCTTCTCGTCTTCTGTTGGCTCCAAGGTGTTGGTAATTGTCTTTTTATTCTCTAGAGTAGCTTGCACGAGCCCTTCGAAACATTTAACTACTTCAGCTACCTTATTCTTAAATGTAAATACGTTAACATAATCGTTATTCGACAGCGTGTCTAATAAAGACTTTAAGGTGCTCCTCGCTACGTAATTTTTGAATCCGGTCATTGAACCCGACACGTCGAACAGTATTATAACATCTTTAGAGCAAGTTGCCGCTTCGATGTACCAAGACTGTACCCTGCAATCGTACGTATCAATTTTCTCCATATTCCACGGCATTCCGGGATAGAAGCGCATTATACCGCTGGAGCTTCCAAAGTACTGCCACGACAATGAAGGATCCGACTTATAGTTATTTATAAAAATATCGTTCAAATCTTTCGACCATAAAATAGCTTTTAAAGCTTCTTCTTCTGAAATAAAAATTCGAACAAAACATTAAAGATCGGGTAGATATAAAACAAAAAAAAACTCATTCGGAAACAAAAGTTTTCCTATAACTGGGATAGCTTCTTGCCTACCTTTGTAAAATATATTTGTAGGTACATGTACACAGCTCAGGTTCGTGTTTACGTTTATATCGTAAAAGTGCGAGTCCTTCTCCAGCGTTACTTTCATGTAGTGCGTTTTGTTCCTTGCGAAAATTGGCACAACATTCGGTTCGATGGGCTCTGTTTCACCCTCTTTGTAGAACTCCGAGTATTTAGCCGAGCAGTATTTGAATGGGTAATGCTCGTTTATGACCGAATAATTGAATTCGCGCGCCAACCGCTCCGCTGTTCGGTGTATGCACTGGAATTTTAATTGCGCTGCGAACCATTTATGTACTAAAACTGGCGATATCCCTGATTGGATACCGCACTGAAGGGGAATCGTATGTCAGTGTGCTGACCTAGATGGGTTTGAGTTTAACCGCTGCATCGAGGGCTCAAGAGGGGCGCCGTGTCCATTGCACCGACACGGCACCATGTGCTTGGACCAATCCTAGCACCTGGAGAAAGCAGGCCTGAGAAGACCACAATCGCGCCGGGGTTCGCGGAAGATTGAGTTTTCGTGTTCCCTTGTACCCGCGGAATATGCAACCAGGTGCAAGGTGGGTAGTTGGTGTCCCCGTATTTCTCGGGAGCCCCCACATACCCCTGCTGCCTACCCACAAGGCGGCGGGAGAGGGATCCATGAAGAACTTATCCCACGTAAAAATACAAAAAAACAAGATGAGTTACATCGTACGAATCCCAGAGGAGTTTTGAGAAGCGATGATTTGATTTGTATTGAATTTCTCTCTGATTTCTGATTGCATACCTACAACACGTGAATTGAAAGTATATATTCGTAAATAGTAAGGGTCAAAAATACGAGTATTTTTGATGGTAAAACCTGGATCGTTCACAGTTCGCTATACAAATACTTTTGGGATTTGTATAAAAGTTTATTTATTGGCTTTTGGCAAGAGACAACGGGACGATTTCTTTTTGTTAGAATAATACAATCACCGTCTTTTAAGAATTCGGTGTCATCATTCCCGAAATAGCTCTAATAGTCGTCTGTCAAGCGGATTGTTTAAAAAAATCGGATACCATATAATATACTCTTACATACACATAGCAGCCTTTTAGTTTTGTAAATTAAAAATAATAATAAAAATAATAAAATTATTATCAAATAAGTAATTAAGAGTACATTTTTTATTTTCGAATCGTTTTCATTATTTTTGAGCCGTGATAGCTCAGTATAGGGGCGCTCGCCTTTCATTCAATATACTCGAGTAACCTGAGTTGCTCAGCGTGTTCACGTGCTCAGCGGTGAAGAAAAACGTTGTGAGGAAACCTGCATATTTTGGAAATAATAATAAAAAAGAAAATATTTCGAAGATAGGTGAAAACCGCCAAACCACAGTGGGGCCGCGTGGAGTACTATGCCCTGATACCCTCTACAGAAGAGGCATTTGCTCAGCAGTGGGACGTGTATAGGCATTTACTATTTTTTTTTTATTATTTTCACACCGGGAAACAATCTGTTGAATATAAATTTAATATTACTAAAATGAAATATATAAATAATATATATCATATACCAAAACTCTTTATAACTTCATGTGTCTGTGTTTACCTTGACAGCGTTTATTTTTCTTGTGAGCATCGTACTGACAGATCTCAACGACGATTCCAAAATTTGTTTGCCATCTTTCTTCTTCACGCTCGCGTTCATTTGTTTGTATTTCTGTAAGCAGCAATTTAGTATTATGAGATAAAACTAAAATCGGGTTAAGCGATCAAACTTTTATTTTAAAAATTGTCATATAATAAACAATAATAATAAATTAATATTTCAGGATACGTTTCCACAAAACGTTCTCTAGTCCCAAACTATGGTACTATGGGTATTAGATAACTGATAAACATACTTTTATTTTGCATTTTGCTTATTATAGATATATAAACATCCAGACACTGCAAAAACACTGTCTCTATCATACAAATTTTTCCAGTAGTGGAGATCGAACTTCACCCTTTGGCGCAAGACAGGTTCACTATCCACTAAACTAATCGGGTCATCGTATCAAAAAAAGGAAAATAATGTCACTTACATATATTTTTAATAGCCCAACAATTTATGTTGATAAAAGAGAATTGAGGAGTTGACGTTTTTATAAGTAGTATCCATTTAGGCTTATAATCTAAGTTAGATTGATGATAAATTATTTCATTTCGTAATTATACATAACCCTACAAATATAATCTAGAGTTACTTACTATTCGGATTTGATCCGATTTTGTGAGCGACTCGCTTAATTTCCATAGATCCTCGCCCAAATCCGTCGCCCATAATTTCACGCTGTAGAAACAATTTACATTTAGAAGACTTATCGGGATTAAACGATTTTACATATTTTTAACAATGCCATTATTGTAGGCTAATAATAACATAGTTCAATCAAATTCAGCCAGTCTACAACTGATCGAACATGCTTAATCCAAAACCGATGGTAGAGTTAAAAGAACAACTCGCCCATGGATATAGCAGCCAAAATTTTGGGACTTTAGCTAATCTCTGAGATTGTTGGCTTCCATTCATCATTATTTTATACTAGCTGCTGCCCGCGACTACGTCTGCGTAGAATGGGCTGAAGGCGTAACATTAAGACAGAAAGACAGACATACATAAAATATGTATTTAAATTATAGCCCATATCTTATTCTGATGTATAAGCTATATTAATGTAAAGTTTCATTAAAATCTATTCAGTAGTTTTGGCGTGAAAGAGTAACAAACATCCATCCATACACACAAACATTCGCCTTTATAATATTAGTAAGAATTACATCGGTCAGAAGACCAAAGTGAGGCAGTAGATACTCGGTCGAGATGGCCCAGTCGAAACTGTTGTTAATCACTGATGTTCACCACTTCATTTCACTGAAGAAGAATATTTCGTTTTCAAAAAATTATTTATTACCAAACTTTTAAAAAGAAACTACCCCCACGTTACTGGGTAATTATTTTATGTTATCATGTTTTCACGCTAAATATCGGAATTAAAACGCGAAAAACACCTGATTCGAGCAGCTCTACGTTGGGTGCGGAAAAATGTAAAGAGCTGCTATTAGGTCTCCCCAGCCTAGAGATGAGAACAGTACTCCATGTGCGCCGAATCTACTCTTTGTAGAACTGCAGGCGATGGAACAGCAATAATGACTTTCACTAGGTTTTACATATTCCGATATTACAAACATTCATCGATTTCTTAGTGGCCAAAATTTTACGAACCATAAGTGCAACAGAGAAGCACGACGAAACATTATCTCCAACCTTATATAATTGATGTAAATAATTTAATAAATTTTATAAAATTAATATTTGTTTTTAAATTTCTTTGTATTCTTATTAAATATAATCATTTTGTTTCTTGTAAATCAATAAATGAAAACTTTATTACAAAATCAATACCTACGTTGATGAAAAAAATTGTTTATTATTTTTTTCTTCCTAAAAATATTTCATAACAACCCAAAAGTAATATTTACAAGTTTGTAACACTAAGAAATTTTCACTTCTGACGTGTAGTCCTACGACCGACAGTATTTTCCCTCTACGTGTTCCAACAGTCCAAAACCGGATTTGCTCTATAAACAAGCAGGATACTTTTTATCCTGTTAAAAATGCTGTTGTGTTCCGAAAAGAAAAATTCTGGCAAAGGGGCCGTCCATTAAACACGTGAGACTCGAAAGGGGGGAAGGGGTTTGGCAAAAATCATGAAATATCTCAAGGGGGAGGGAGGGTGTAGTAAGATATCACGTGTATTTAGTTTAATGAAAAGCGGCGTGACCTCGACTCGCCGTTACATTTTTATCATGGTCTTTAATTTCAGAATAAAAACTGGATTATGTTTTGTTTATTTCGTCTTAAACCTCACCACGTATTACCATTTTTTAAGCCCCCCCTGGCTTAAAAAATGCTAAAAAAAACCATCACGTGATTAATGGACGGCCCCAAAGCTGCGGGTGATTGCTAGCATTTTTACATGAAATCATTGAAGGCAAAAGATAGAACAAAGTCTGCCAGGCAATATAGTGCGTTTACCAAGTGCTACATCACCACTTATCGAGATAGTAGTATTCAAGCACTCCATGATAAAAAAACGAAAAGTGTGAGTAGTGCTCGCGGACGAAGGGTTCCGTAGTACCATTATCTATAAAAATGGCAAAAAATCATCTATGATGTATGGGATTAAATATATTTTTATTCTATTTTTTTTTGGAATTTGTTGTTATAGCGGCAACAGAAATACACCATCTGTGTTTCAACCAAAGTTTCAACTTTCTAACTCCCGCGGTTCATGAGTTACACCCTGGTGACGGACAGAGAGACAGACAGCGGAGTCTTAGTAATAGCGGGACCCTATTACAAAGACTCCGCTTTTACCCTTTTGGTACGGAACCCTAAAAACTAACGTCATACAGTTATCCATTTGAAACAATATCACTTTAAATCCTACAACTTTAACGGGTTCGTACACTGCCGTGCCTGTACAATATTTTAAAACAAAATAGCTATTTACGGTACTCGATAGCGTTTATTTTTGTTATAAATATCCGATATAACAAAAACTTCACACCATTATCATCGCACTGAACTAAAAGTGCCGTTTATCATAATAGGTACCAAATTAAAAATATGCTACGTGTTTTCAACTTTATTTTAACAATAAATATTCTTCTTTTCATTGTACAACCTTTTTTCCAAAGCACCAGCTGCATTTTTTAGTTTACAAATGCATGGTGTATTTTACTTCTGAGGTCAGTGAGAAAATTACAGGATTCAATCCAAATAACATTCCCATTTAGGAAATAAGACCTACAAACAGTTTAGGACCTAAATTTCTAAAATTAGTCTTAATTGTTAGTTAAAATAATTTTTATAAATGTCTTTTAAAAGCTAGATAAAATGAAATTAACATAAGGCATGAATAAATTTATGCCGCGAATTGGGATTAAATTATCGAAGAAAACCAATAAGCATTGAACAAGAGTTAAAAAATCTTTTTTATTTAAAGAAATCGCTTATAAGCGCCCAAATCCACTACCAATACACATTTTTTTTATTTTTTTTATGTGACAAGTTGCCAAACGAGCAGGCGGTTCACCTGATGTTAACTGAATATCGCCGCCCATGAACATCTGCTAGGGTTGCAGATGCCTTGACAACCTTTTGAAAATTGGGCTCCGGCTACCTCACTCACCAGACGAAACGCTAAAGTATGATACTTTCACTTTACGCCGGTCGTCCGTGAAGTCGTGGTACTTACCCGGACGAGCCTGCCCATTAGTGTAACAGCCGAGGCTGCTGCGTGGCCCTACCACAGTTAAAAAAAATTTAAGCCCTCCCGAGGAAACACTATTCTATTTCTTTCCTTATATTCCGATGTTTCTTCAATAAATACGTGAAACTAAAAAAATGTTCTATATAACAAATTTACCCTAGAAGAAAATATTCTAATGTATTACAAATAAGCTCTTACACGTCTGCTCTCCACGCCGGAACAGGCTCGGGCACCATAAACAACGCCAGCAGGAATGCCAACCCGGCACAACGCATCTTTACAATCAGTGACTCACACGCAGAATTACAACTCCAAGAATTAACAAAGAATGCGTAAGAATTTTACAGTATAAGGCACATAATCACACAGTAAGAGATTTAGAATACACGTACAACAACACGACGGTTAGTCCAAATCGCGAAATATCACAATTACTAATAGAAAAGCTCTAATCGAAACGAAACCGAAACTTTACCGGAGCAGCACAACGATCAAGGCCACTACGCTAGCGGAACGTACACGGGGGATTATAAATTTCACGAAAATTACTGCTACGAAGGAAAGCGGATTAAGGTCGGATTTGAAATTTCGGTGGTTTATTACGACGCGTTCGGTTACGTTCGGGTTGGTTTTGGCGCGAGCGTCGTTGTGCCCGCCGCCGGTCGCTAGCGGGCGACTTTTGTCGTCGACGCACGTGCTGCGTCTATTCTGGGCGGGCGGGCGCGCTCTGCATCGAACGGGGGGGGAACTAGGTCGCCGCCGTCCTCACTGGGATACTTTGCGTCCCCCGAACGCCACAGAGTATGCACGTTCCAGTTCGACAATGGGCATTTAAAAATAAAAAATAAAGCCGCTTCGACGAAATTACTAATGCATTACGGCTCGTCCATCCATTGCAGAATATGAATTTTATTTAGTTGACAATTTGCACGCTGTTTTGCTAGTTTGCAACGAGTATTTTCGAGTCGCATTTTAAACATGTGGGTGAAAAACTTTGCAGGGGAATACTTTAAAATTTCAAGTAAGTTAAGTAGTAAAGTAGTGTAATTACTTTCTGATTTTGAAATGTTATATCATGTCGTCTTAAGCGAACTCTATAACTATTATAATTTATCGGAGAAAATTTCAATTATTGGATATTATTTTAATATTAAGCGATTTCGGTTAAATAATGTAACATTTTTTTTGTAATTATGTTTTCCGTAATGAAATATTATTACATAGCAAAATGTTTAACACAAAATATTTGACGAAATTCTGTGATTATTATGCGAAGTATGTTCTCTCTCTAGAATAATTATGTCACATGTTTTAATTAACAATACGAACTTATCCTTGCTTAAATTACTTAGGTATAAATTATTCGTTATTGTATTCCTTTCGTTCTTTTATTAAAATTATGTTAATGTTATTAACATAATTTACGAACTCTGAGTAGTAATATTGAGCTTCTAAACATTATTACAGTTTGAGCCTTTGGTTACGTTAAGTTATCTCGCCTACTATAAATACAAGTTACTTAAAATTTTCATATTCATTACGCTTAAAACCATCTCTATTAGTATTACATAATATGTTTTAAGACTAAACAATTATATTTACAAAGATATTTCATACAAATGATACTACATCCTCAACACAGTATTTCATGTATTTTTTTTTATAATTTGGATATAATCAACAAATATAATCTCCATAAAAATGGTAGATGAGTTTTACTCTATGGGGAAAAACGGAACTTGGCGATATTCCATGACTTGACTATAAAACACGCTAACCTTCGAAAACCACGAAAGTAAAGAAGAACTCTCTTATTTTGTACCGCGACACTATAAAATAGCGAGTACTAAACAAAAAGCTGATTCAATTTTGGCGATACTAAAAGCTTGCAAGCTTGCAAGCTAAAAATTAGCAATGAATTGGTAGACATTGACATTACAGAATACCAAACTGTGGTTTTACTTTTCCTATAATTTATAAGGACACAATCGATTGTTATTATTTTATAAATTACTTTTATTTCAAATGAATAATCGTTGCTATATTTGTGAATGACCGAGTAGCTCTGGACTTTTCGATTGAGTTTGTATACGTACTATGTAATTGGTTTACTTTGATGGTTTTTAGTTATTTTTAAAATAGAGCACCCCAACCCCAGGTAGGGCGCCTAGGCGCCTACTTTAGTTTAAGAATACTTATTGAAATTAAACATAAATTGAAAAAAAATCGATTTATGTTGAGATAACATTAATTTTCTATTAGATAGTTAGAAGTTTTGGTATATTACTTGCCAGTAAGTTGTCAAACTTCTAATTATTGTCGACGAAAGGTACACGGTGATTTCATAGTACTTTTTTTGTAGAAAATGAAGTTCTAATTAATATAAATCCTGATTTATACATTTCTTTTTGTAAAATAATATTCTATAAAACTTGTTATTCACTATATAATATAACATTAATATATAATATTGTTATTGACTTTCAGATGATGTTGTACTAATCTAATTGTATCAAATTCAGTAAACATTTTATGAATACCAGAAAATCAGTAAAGCTTTTCAAATTCATGAGTTACGAAGTTTGTGACGAAACTCGTGCAAGCTCGTGGCTTTGAATATTTTACGAGATGTCGGCAGCGGTCTGTTCGCGATGAAACACTTATATGCATTGTTTAAATATACATACATATAAAATACATACAATATAACAGACGTTACAGCAGCCTGCCTTGAACAGTTTTTATCGTGGTAAGGCCACGCAACAGTCTACGCTGTTGCACGAATGGTCATGTCCGTCCGGTTAAGTACCACGAACTCACAGAAGACCGGCGTGAAGTATAATTGTTACACTTCTGAGTTTCGTGTGGTTAGTGAAAAAGCTGGGTGCCCACTATTACGAGGTGGCAATGCATCTGCAACCCTACGTGTGTTGCAAATGTCCATGGCCGCGCCGGCTCACTTGCCAAAATTAGGTTAATTTTACATGTGGATCCACTAAGCCGTAATAGCTCAGTGACAGGGCTCTCGTTTTTAATTTAGTATATTCGAACCAAAAAAAGGTGGGGAGACATCTTCAACCTTAGATGTGGACCCCTATGGATGCGAAAAATCTGGGAAGGATTAGGAGGCCTACGCCGTCGACGCAACTACTGCCTAATCATATTTTATTTAAAAATATATATATATATATATATACATATGTTAAAAAAAATTAAATTGGTAGTAGTAGTAATAAAGGCTATTTTTATTTTATTTATATTCAAACCACCTGAGTTCAAATCCCAGGACCAATTAAATCACGTGCACAGCGGTGACGGTAAATATAAAGAGGAAAGCTGCGTATTTTCAAAATATATAACAAAATATATTTCAATGATAAGTGAAGTCCGCCAAACCACAGTTGGGTCCAGCTGGACAATGTAGAGACCCTCTGTATAGAGGCGGCCTTTGCCCAGCTGTGAGACACATTCATATAGGCTGTTACTTTACTCTTTTTAAATTATAACATCCATATATAGGTACAACTCAAAAAACATCTATATTGTGATGAAATAAAAGTGCTTTTAAAATTTGATATAGTTTAATAGTAAAACTTGCCTTTATATCGTAATATTTTTATTACAAGGCCTTTTATCTCTTAAGGCTAACAGCGTTCACTCTACCGAGGGAGTTTACCAAAATTTTCCCTCAGCGAGGTTTTAAATATAAATAACAGTTTTACTTCAACATTACGTATTTGCTTTTTAATATGGAAGATACTCGTACAACATATGGCATTTTATTATATAAACCACATTACATGAACTGATTTTGGGTTCAAGGTATGATGGTAATAAAGGATATACAAATATATTGTAAAATTAAATAAATAATGGCACCATTTTTTTATTGGGGTGGAGATGTGTAGTGATACGAGTTACCTGAGTTCAAATGACGGTGACAATGAAGTTGTAAATTTTAAGTTCTGACTTATCACGAGCTTAGCGTTGAAGGAAAACATAGTAAGCACACCTGCATGTTTTCTAAATAATAATAAAAATCAAAGATATGTGAAATCCGCAATTCCGCAGTGGGGTTGCTATTCCCTAATCTCCTCTGTGCATTTCCTATACGTGGGATATATTATCTATATAAGCCGTTATATATTAAGGTAGAGCCACGCAGCAACTTTTGTGGTAGGCTATGAAAGAGAAAAGAGTGCGTGGAAAGTACTAGCATACTTGTACCACAAAACAAAATCTTTAACACATCATCATTCACTAATCTATAAAACATCCCGCAAAGATATTTTCGGTACATATAAAAAATGTTTCTGTATTTGTTGTATGGTGCAGCTTCGAAGACTCAATTGCACTTCTAAATATCTTATGTCTACATCAGAAATTCATTGCGTCTCATTCGAATAACTAAGAAAAATAATGAAGAATAAAGCTAGCTGCTACGTTATTAAACGCTCGCAAAATACATTAAAGCTCCGTCCATTAACTTAACAGCGTTCGTAATAAGGGCACGCTATGGCCTACAAGGCCAAGATGATGTGAACCGAGAGGGGAGTGGCGACGCCCCGGCGGGACTCAAGTTTCATGGCTCTAATACAAGTACGTGATTATTTTCGTATATTCTTTTGTAACCTTTACGAAGTGGCACTTAAATATTTTTATTTCCATTACATTTCGCAGACATAAGTATTACTTTTAAGTCGCGTACGCCTTAAAAGAAAATAGTAACAAATTCTTGTTGAGTGAAATTGCTATTTTTTATTAACAGAATATTTGGATTAATGCCTGGCATTTGCGGTTAGAATATTGAAAGAACATAATAAGCCGAGTTTATTCTTAAATTGTTAAATGAAATTACTTTGTTGACCGTCATAAATAATTATAAAGTAAGTATTAAAATAAAAAATTCAACCATAAACCGTAATTATCATGAAGCCATTTCATTTTTAGTCTTGAAATTAAAAATATGAAAAGTTCTATATAAATATAAAATAGTATCAGCCTATACATGTCCCACTGCTGGGCAAGGGCCTCCTCTGTACAGAGGCTATCAGGGCATAGTACACCACGCGGCCCCACTGCGGGTTTGCGGACCGGCACCGGGGATCGAACTCAGATTGCTCGAGTATATCGAATTAAAGGCGAGCGCCCGGACACTGAGCTATCACGGCTCTGTGGTAGGTAAGGCAAGTGATGTACCTTACACTCGTCTTCATATCTTGCGTAACACGTCTTTGGCCCCGCTAGAGCTGGCTCAGCGTAGGTCTTTCCCCCATGTCAATATTGAAACTACTCTAACGGATACATACATGCGCCTGGTGGGTTTTAGTCGGTGCTCGGGCGCAAAAGCTTGAAGTTCGGGCTATAAATACTGCTCCAGCTATGAGATCGAAGATTCAAGCCACACGCACTGAATTGGGATGGCGTTACACAAGATACAGTGAATATCTTATCTAGTATAAGAAGAACCGAAAAGATTTGCTTTCATTGTTTCTTTTTTCTCTATATTTTTTCAGAATGAATATTTTCTATTTTAGACTTTAAGACAAATTTGTATAATATTTTTATCGAAAAAAAAAAAGGAATTTATTTACATACATTTTAAAGCAACAACGAACATACGGCGCCTGAGACGAGTGTAGAAGTACTTAATAAAGTATTATTAGATGACTATCCTAGAATTACAAAATATAATACATGTTGTTTATCTAAGTGTGTATCGCTTAAATATAACAATGTACCAAATGAACTGAATTTACTGAATTTATTTTTTACTGAATAGTTGACAGATAACAATATTATACATTATTATATACACAGCATTAAGGACATGATTAATAAGAAATGATCATACATGAACAATTTTTGAATGTTATTAAAAAAAACATGCTGTTCTAAAATGTGAACGTAATCAAATTGTAATATTTTAAGTGCTGCTTTACCACGTACTTCATGGTAAAGAAAAATCTTCGCCAATAATTTTAAGAATACATCGATTCTTATTTATAAAAAAATATGAAAAGATATCGAAGATATGTGACTATATGCATCAAGGTCGCGTAGTGGGCTATCGTTACTACCTACTACTGTGTGTACAAGTAGGATTTCTGTTGCTTTTCCTTTTTCACAGGCATAATGCATTGTTATGTGGACTAACCACCATTCGTATTTACGCGTAGCCCGATACAAGTGATAGAAGGAAAAGCTTTAATATTTTAATTCACATAGACTTTTCGTAAATCTAATGACTCGTTGTTTAAGGAACCTCGTGGTAATTACAGCATACCGGTGTCTTATCAACACCAAGTGCGATCGAGTCTAGACATAACTTTCATCGTTGTTCTCCAGTATCAGTCACATTTAATTGATTGAATGATTTGGCATAAGGAGCACCTTGTAATGCTCTTCCCCATTTATATAACATGACCGATGCAAATGTGTCATACCATATTTTTGAAGTGAAAACTTCTATAGGCAATTGAGCCGTTTCGGATGGTGACAAATTCATTGGTTCCATCTTTTTTTCATCGACAAGCCAATGTTACCTGTTTTGTCAATGATGTGGGTGACGGTAAAATTTTTGATATCATTTGGTTTTCTAATATTTGATTTCTGTAAAACAATATTATTTTTGTCGCGCATTTGCGATTAAAATTCAATATAAACGTTGAATTACTTAAGATTATTGTTTATTGGTTTTAATAGTCTGGAATAAAATAGGTCTTTTGCAACTTAAACTAGTATTTGGTGATTTTAACTATTCATACTGTTAACTGCGGTAGGGCCTTGCAACAGTTCGCTGTTGCACGTTGCACGAATGGGCAGGTCCGTCCAGGGAAGTATCATGACCTCACAGACGACCGGTGTGGAGTGGAAGTGTTATATTTATGCGTTTCGTCTGGTGAGCGAGGTAGCTGGGGTCCACTTTATCAAAATGTGACAACGTACCCGCAACCCTACGGGTGTCGTAGGTTAAACCGCCAGCACGCTTGCCGTCTTCTTACATAAAAACAAAATAATGATTTAAAATAAAATAAAATACTTTTATTCCAGTCTTCGAATTTCATTTCTATCGGCAGTCCAGACTGCTTATTTTTTTCTAATCATATGTAGAAACAGATGACTATATGTAAATATACTGCTGATACATAATTGTGTATATTATCAGTGAATATAAAATTTCTTTAAAGTACTTGAACAACTTAACAAGAGAAATACTGTAAATGATTTTGCCGCGTTTAATATTTAACTTCTGTCTTATTTCGTTAATTTTCCAATTTATATCTATAACCATGTTTTTATTACAATCTTCGTTCGTCTGTCATGTTCTTACTTTTTACTACATAAGGCAATCTTTTCTAACAACCTCGATGTCTAAATTGTTAACGTAGCCAATTATTATTCATTCATAACAGTTATTATTAAACCTTAAAGAGAAAAATCTAAGGAAAATATGAAGAACAATGTAAATCAACCGACTTTATTGTGAAATTGAGAGCTCATGTTTCCAGGAAAACTGCTTATAATGTTATTTCAATAGCCTTTTAGGTTCGATTGCTTTACTAATCATTGATTTTATAAACAAATTTATTTTCTAGTGGGATTGCTTGTGCTTATAGACATAAAGAAACTTTTTTTTCCATATTTTATACAATGCTTGGCGCATCTATTGGTATGTCCTTTACAGCACACAAACAATTTCAATATCGTTTTAAGACGATAATTCGAAGTAGAGATGTCGCCATCGCTATTTTATAATCAAAGATATATCTTTAGGGTTCCGTACCCAAAGGGTAAAACGGGATCCTATTAGTAAGACTCCGCTGCCTGTCTGTCTGTCTGTCTGTCTGTCTGTCTGTCTGTCTGTCTGTCTGTCCGTAAAAGTTGCTACCCCGCTTGCTCGTTTGCCTCCTTTTTCCATAAAAAAATTATACAACCACTTCGGTATCGTGATGGCTTTTTTTGAAGCCTACTGTAGACTAACAAGTGTTTAAATCACTGTACTGTATAAATTAGTTAAACACGACACACTGTTGAAATTTTTAACGACATATGACCTTATTAAGTACAGTTTGTTTTATTTATTGTCTTATCTACATTTGTAACAAAACAAATCTGTGATTGTTAAATTATATGTAACGCATTACATGATTTTTTTTATTCAAAACAAGGTCTTTATTTGTTTATTTTCAAGTGTAAAATTAAATTTTTTATAAGGTGGCCATGTGGCCTCTAAGTAATGGGAATTTTGCGGCCACGTGGCGTGATCCTGGGGTGAGAGGGTGGTGATTACAGACACCTGGCTGCCTGTATTACGTGACGGATATAATTTCTATTTCAAACAAATCTAACCAGTGATGAAATGATTAATAATAATTGGAGTTGTACAAATACGAGATGTTGGTAATTTATAATTAGGTAACCGTTTTCAAAATAGTTGTTATAATGTTCAGTGAACTCATATTGTTAAAATATGCGTTCACTGAACATTATAACAATTAAATAATAAATAACCGTTTTGCTCCTGCAAAGTGGCCATACTTTATCTTAGATCGTAAATGATAATACAATTTACTTTCATTGGTATGAGTTCTACTTAAAAGTTAAATTTTGGAAGACTTAATTGTAACACATTGCTATCATGAATATTTTTATAAGAGATGGCTGTAACCGAAAAGGTTATTCAACTGAAAATCGTGATTAAATGTTTTGCAACAACAGTGGGGAAACGTGTTACCAACCTTTAAAATGTTAAGTTTTAATTAACTTACCGGATTGAATGCAAAATTAGGTACCTACCTAAGCCATTTGACAGCTGATTAGTTGACATCTACGATGATCAGTGTTTGAGAAACCGGGCGTTAATGTTACTATAGTTTTCTCAAATCGCAACGTCTTATCTATTTTGTTTTTATTGGATTTAAGCAATGCTTGGTTTAAACTAGCACTAGTTACACTAGTACTTTACAGCAATCAAGCTTTCAAAAATGAAATTTGAAAACTAGAACGTTTTACTATTGAAGTTTAATTTTTAACCTTTTCTGATCTCTGCGCGTAAAATGAAAATTAAAATGTATTAATTATTCGCGAGCTGTGTTATTACAGCGGTGTATTCTCGGATAGACATCGGTGTGGTACACGTAATGGAGACAAGTTGACGGGGCTGCTTCCTTCAGCTCGCAGTTCGTAGCGGCGTGCGACTAGCGCAGTGCGTGGCGGGAGCACGTAAAGAGCGGCTTCGTTTCTGCACGCAGGCACACGCAATTATTAGGATTCAAGCTAAACATTAACATTAGAATATACTAAAACTAATAATTGACTTTAAAAACAATTCTCTGTCCTTGATAATATCGACAGCAGTATTATGTGCAAACATGTTCTGGTTCCCATGAACACAGCTGACGCAGGTATGTTTGACAAATTGTTTATAGTTGTCCTTAACATAAGTTCATTGCAAATATTTTCGATTTTATAATATTTGGTCCTGTTTTGTACCTATTTTGTAATCGTGCATGATTTCATTTAATTTCTATTAAAATTAGAATTATCAGATAATGAGCAACATGTTAGTTTAAGACAATAGGACAATTATATAAAACCAACCTAATAGTAATCATAAGGGTTTCGTTGAAGCCATATTGCCATCCGAGAGGTTTAATAGATCTTACATAACTTTTCGTCCGTTTAAAAAATGTTCTGCTGTTTATATCGGATTAGTTGAAATTTGTTATTTATATCGGATTAATTGTACAGCTGCAATTTTTTTGCTATGGTATTAATAAAACAGTTACGAATAGGACTTAATATTCAGTTATCGCTATTGCTTCATTTAAATTTTTTAACAAATATTTTTTTTTATTAAAAAAAATAATTAATAAAACACATCAGATAGTCAAGGGTTCAGAGTAATTCCCGGACTACTGCTCAACACATTTTCTATAATTTTAAATGTAAAATAAAGACAACATAATATTTAACGATCTTTAAATAGGTCTTTAAAAATATTCAAAAGTGGGTAGATCGGAAATCTATTAAACTATTTTTTCTAGCATTCTTACTGGTATCAGGGCCCGCAAAAGTGGTAACTTCTCCGCAAATCATTATAGAGATTCCGAAAAATTTATGGTAAAGTAAAATTATCCATCATCACAACAAGCTTTTGTTTATCGTGACTGCGCGATGGACGATGCTAGTATTGAACAGTTTCAAATTAAATATCTACGATTATTCACACTGGTAAGATCTATTTTTTAGTTTGATAGTTCCCAAATAAAATGACAAAGCTTTTTTGTGGCATCATCAATAATTTCACTATGAGGTCAATTTTTTTAATAGAAAAATCATACAAATAAAAAATAAATTATTGTTCACAAAGTGGGTTCTTGTTGACAAGCCCTATATACAAATATTACAGTCTTCGCGATGTCACACAAAAGGTATAACACATAAATAACAGCATTGTTTTTGTAAACGGCAATCGTTGCTACTCGTATTACTTTCCGATTCGCGACAGCAATTGATTTAAATTAGAAACCCATCTGTTCATATTAAACACCCCGTCCTGTCTATTAATTGTCACTTCGGCTGTTAAAAATAATACGCGCCCAAATTGGCCGTGATTGTGTAGGTTTTGAACGGAACCGTCGACTGTTGCTGGTACGTGAATTAACGATTGTAAAGATGACAAAATAGACTCTAGGGTTGTGAACACTGTTTAATTACTTAAAAAAAAAAGTATTAATTTGATAATTTCTTGTATTTACGCGATTACATTAAAAATGAAACTAATTTTACGGATTCATCTTTATTTTTAAAATTTATTATAATAATTTATTTTTAGGATTTTTATTTTTTATTTTTATAATTAAAAATAAACGCGATAAATCCGTAAAATTAGTTTCATTTATAAATATTATTTTTTTCATAATATTGATGATATTATACATTTGCCGTTTGATGACATTTATGTTTGACATGAAAAGAACATTTCTGAAACTTTAGCAAAGCAGTTAATAATTTTTAACCAAAAACGTATGAGCTCAAAAGTATTTTACGGATTTAATCGCAATGAAATCCGTAAAAAAGTGTTGTTATTAAAGTTAAAGTAAATTTATAGCTGTGAAAAAATAAACAATCAATTGGAATAATAACTATAAGAAATTTTCATTATATTGAAAAGAAAACAAACCAGAAGCATATGTTGTCGTGATTTTGTCGATTTAGATGTTTAGATTTTTTTTTGTTGTGTGTAGTGATAAACGCCGCCCATGGACATTTGTGACACCCATAAGGTTGTACAAGCGTTGCCACCTTATAATGAAGTGGGCCCTCGCTACCTAACTCACCAGACGAAACGCAGAAGCATAATACTTTACGCCGGTCTTCTGTGAGATCGTGGTACTTACCCGGACGGGCCTGCCCATTCGTGCAACAGCGAACTGATGCGTGGCCCTACCCCTGAATGCGATATGTAGGCGAATTACAAAATAGGCACACTAAAAATGAATTTGGTTTAACGAATTTTATTTCCCAAAAGAACTACATTACACTTAGATGAGAAACCTAATTAAACAATTTACAAAAAAGAGAGAGAAAAATAAAAGATTACAAACCAAGTAGAGTACGTAAACTACCGTAGTTATACAAAAGTTATCTGTAAGTATCAGTTATTAATTAAGGACGTCATCAAGCTCCCTCATACAGTATATTTTTCTTTACGTACATTGTTCTGATCATAGTAGGTATTTCTATGTTATCTCTGTTCCGAATATATTAATGACGAGTTACTGTTGTTGTAATTATGAGTGACTGTTTAAATGTGATTTTTGAGTGAATGTGTAGATGAATTTTAATAATACTTCCTGTTAGTTTCAATTCATGGCAACCCTACGGAACCATATTGTTGCCTATTGGAATCGGCGCAGTGTAGTACGTCCGCAGCGCAGTGCTCAGGCCGGCACATGCGCGCGACATTCCCTCTGCCATTCCTAAAAACAATGTGTCCGTATCAAACGCGAGCACTTGCACGTTTGTAATATTACACCAAGTACTTTTATTACACTGACAGGGCGGAATTAATGTGGAGCTGATTCCCGTGCTAAAAAGATGAGGCTGCCGAAATTCGATATGCGTGAGTCAAAACATCATGTATGTTTTGTAGCCTATAATCTCGCATTTGTTATATTATTTAATTAGAATAAACAATGTAGTGGAATATTTTCTTTCAGTTTTCTTTTGCTTTTTGCTTATTGTTTATTTACTTGTACATTTTACCATCTATTATTGGCGCTTCTATTAAGATTTTTTGGATTTTAATAGGTTACCTCAAGCCAGCAGATGAATGTACTAGCTGTAAAATTGCTTTAGCACTACATCTTATTTCGCTGTAAATTGAATTTCATTGATTGATTTCAGTAACCGCAAAATTCATTAACTTTTTAGTTTAAATTGGATTCTTTGTCTAGGCAGTGTTTTTTTCAATATTATTTTTTGTGACGGTTAGTGATAGAATAACATAAAAAAAATCATAAACACGACACAGTCTGTTAAAACAAATATTAGGTAATTAATCATTTTAATGGCGAAAGAAGTGCAAGTTGCTTAATTAAATGATAGACGAAACGAATACATTCTATTATGACGGTTGCATTTGCTGCTCAAGCCGGGGAATGTTGTCCAGGCGAACACGAGGCCCTCATTTCTCTTACATCTTTAAATTAAAAATTAAATAATTCATTCATAATCAATTAAATGCTTTTATAAATTGTTACGTTATATACCTTGAATAATACTAAAGGATTCCCCAGTTACAAGTATCTATAATATAAAATGCTGCAAGATGACAGCACATATTATCAAACAACATATTATATTATACTATATTAACGAATCTTCATTTTTGACTTATCAAACTTAATTACTTACTAGAAGTTTATTTCACTAGACAGATGTCAGTCTTTGCTTAAAGGTTGTTCTAAATCTGATAAAACATTTTCTCGGTCATTTTTTTCCCGTAAGATTGTGTCCAATGAGAAGAGTCTCTCACATTGTTATCTATCCACTTCTTGGAATTCAAATATTAATAAACAATCTAATAAGTAATAATTACAGCATAAACGAACAGAGTAATGCTTAGTCGATATCTTAGTTTTCAATGCTCTGAACAAAAAATGAACGGAAACGTAAATAGGTACACGATAGTAATAATGTTATGGAAAACTGTCTGTTGAACTAAGCATGGGGCGAAATATGAACATTGATGCATGAAACACTATGTTACGATTCACCTTAAGTCAATGTACGAATGAAATTTTTTATATCTAGAAAAAAAATTAAAACGGATTTATGTATAAATGTCGCTGGCGTCCTACCGCTTAATTGTCTGATTGGTAAGAGACGCAGGTGGCCGCCTCGCGCAACGGAATCGATTCGCAGGCAAATGTCCATCATCTAGAATAAGCAATTAACTGCGTTTATGCGACATCCATTTGAACCGTCTACTGTGCCACTTAGCGACGACCGGCTGCAATCAAGCAAATACATACATTGGCCCTACCGCACGCACGAAGATGTTGTTTGACTTGCATCTGAGCTTTGCCTTGTTTCTTATTATCTACCAATGATGTCTAAGATTCGTTTTATTGACCGGCAATTGCTGATCTGATCTGATCAATAAAACTGAAAATGCTGAAAGGTAAACCTAATAAAATAATAACCTTAACGATTTCTTGCATAAGAATTACTCACGCATTAGAAAGTGAGATATATATATATATATATATCACTTCAGCGTGTCGTTACCACCGCGACAATAAATGAATACACATATAGAGGATAACTTTTTAAAATTGTATTAAACATTTACTGTGGCGCCAGTTGTATAGGATGTTACAAATATTGTTTCTTTTTTACTTAATTAGTTTGTTTGAAAAATATTTTTTTTTGTATTATGGATTTTGTTTAACGTTAACATTTTTTTATGATTATTGGCAAGTAGCGACACGCTGTATATAATTAATTTGGTCTCCGGAATTCGTTGATGGAGTTATTGTTAAAAAAAGAATTATTATCATTATTTACACATTCTATATTTCGGGTTCAAGTAATGAACGAATTAAGTTCACTCAAATCACATTTAAACATAACAATCTATTTTCCCATGTTTACATATGGATATAATATATGTAGGATCTTAATGCACAATCTTTTGAGAGTAATTACGACATTCAATATCATACTTATGATTAATATAAAAACAAGATACTTATGGATTAAAATGTACATACTGGTAGTACTTGACGCACGGGCAATAAGAATTAAACAAATAAAATAACGGATACATAAAACTACAAGTGAAAAGAAAATATAAAATCTAAGGCAGAGGCACAAACTTACTGATACAAGTTAT